TACTTTTAAACAACATTAAATATATTCACAGGTTCATATTTTTGAATTTTGTTTTATTACTGTTTTTTATTACAAACATTTAATAAGAAAAATATTTTACAAATTTACTTTTTTCAAATGATTAAACAAAAAAATTTTATAAATAACATTAAAAACGCTGAAACGAAAAACTCAAATTGAATACAACGCAAGTATAAATATTCCTTGGCGCATTGAGGCGAATTTTCAAAACCATTTCTTATTGGTGGATTCAAGAGAATACTGACGGAAAAAGCCGATCGTTCAATAAGATCATCATAAGCATTTGCTTGGTCAAGAAATTCTTAAGCTGCATTTCCTTAACCAAGCAATTGCTTATTTTTGACTATGAATATATATGGTCTTAAGCTCGACTCATTCGAATAAGACCGTCTTGATCAAGCAACTCTTAAGTCCTTGCTTAATTCGGAACTATGAATACCGCCCATAAAACGCATTTTTGAGTATTCTGTGCATATGCGAATTTAACCTACAAATTTATCCAGCTTAATTTATACATTCCCTACTTTACCCATGGAGAATAGACTACAGGAGACCAATGAAGTGTATAAAAAAACGGTTAATTTTCGTCGAAAGTTGTTAGCTCATCCGAAACTTCTCTCGCGCCGCGTTGAAAACAGATAGATACCATAAGTTCTAAAATTCACATGTGCTTCTTGGTTAACAGCATACATCGTGATATATATGGTTTTCCGGCAGAAGCACATTTTTTCTGTGAAATATATAAAATAAAATAAATAAATAATGTATGAGGTAAGTTTAAAATTCACCAAAGTGGAAATTTTTTAGTTCAAAATAAGGAATTTAAAATTTTTTTATATATTATGATCTAACACCACAATATTTTATTGTAATGCAGTTTTTCTCATTCATATAAAATTGATTAAAAATTTTAAAGAAACAAAAAAAAATTTATTTTTTAAAAATAATGTGCTTCCACATACATCAATACTTATAAACTATGTTACAAGGTAAGATCATACTAAGTTTTAATGTCTTTAATTTATGAAACCATTTAAAAATAAACTAATTTATATAAAAAATAAAAAAAAACATCTTGTTTCTTATAATTAAAAAAAATATATCACAAACAAATGATAGAATTATGTTCCTTACTGTTAAAAACTATGTAATTTACAGAAAATAAAATAGTATTAAAGAGGACCCAAACCAAGGGTCGAAACGTCTAACAAAAAAACATCTAGTTTCATTTGTATTACATTAAGGACCCTAAAAAACCACAAAACATTCCATTCAGCAATAATGAAATATATTTTATTATTTAAAATTTAATATAAGTTACCGTTATTATTTAAATTATGATTAAAATTTTTGCGAGTTTATAAGGTTCGTTAATTTTTGAAATATTATTTAATATTGTATTTATTATATTATTCAATTTAATTAATTATTTAATTAAAGTTGTGTCAAAAATCTTTTTTTTTAACTAAATTTATTCTGAGAAATAAAAAACAAAAATGTGTATTACATTACGATAATTTCTTACGTAACTTTAATATTAATAAAACTTTAATTTAATATTTATTAGTTCCTTAAATGCTTAGGCGAAATATGTTTTCTACAAAGAAACATAAGTACACATACATTTCACGTAAGTCAAATATCAATTACTTTAAAGTTGAATAAAAATATACCTAAATTCAGGTTATGTTTTCCAAAACAATATGATAGCAACAGATCAAAACAGATATTTCTTGACATGCGTACGTTGATGGTATCTATCTTTTTTTTCGCCACCTATGGGCAAGCTGAGTACTTGTCTTACCTTACGACGAATCTTGGCATCATTTTAGTGAAATAAATGCATGGGAGATTGGTCTCCTGTAATCTATTCTCCATGACTTTACCCTTCGTAATGCAAACAACCTCTCACGGTGAGCTTCGTTTAGGTTCAACCTAAACTGCATGACCCTTCTCAGGTTTTTCTTTATATCAGTTCGGTGATGCCTCACGATCATTTTAAGACGAAAATTAAAATAATCGTTGGAGGGAAACTCAAATTATATTGATTTTTAAATTTTTTTCCTAGGTTATTGAAGATATTTTCACTAAAATACCGTTTGGTAAAATACTTATTGCTTCAAAAGCTACAATTTAACATAAAAATAGATTATATATAATAATTATACCATTTTGATACATAGAATTAAGAAAATGTTTAAAAATAGTCGAAAAAACTGAAATTTTTCTAATTTTTTAAACTTTACTCCTTTATTTAACGTTATTTCAATAAAGTCATGTAGAAGTGAATTAAAGTACATAAAATTTCCTGTAAATTAAAAAAAAACTCTTCTATCTATTACCGTTACAAAAATATGGTCATTTGAATTTTAAATTTAATGGATAAATAGTTAAAATTTAACATTAGGTCTAGATTATTTGGTAAAATTGTTTTCGCAGAACTTCATCTCAATTCCATATTATAATACGTATAAGAAGGTTTAATCTTGAACAGTTTCAAATTGAAAAAACTGATTTATCTCACTTACATCGAAAGTTACATTGGTTTAAAGAATGTCTATTTCTATAAGAGAGATTTGAGTAGTTTTTAAAAATTCCTTTATTTTGAAAAATTACTTTTTTTTGAAAATATTTACTTTTTAAAAAAGTAAATATTTTAAATATGATTATGTTGCATTTTTCAAAATAAACGGATTTTTAAAAACTACTCAAATCTCTCTTATAGAAATAGACATTCTTTAAACCAATGTAACTTTCGATGTAAGTGAGATAAATCAGTTTTTTCAATTTGAAACTGTTCAAGATTAAACCTTCTTATACGTATTATATTATGGAATTGAGATGAAGTTCTGCGAAAACAATTTTACCAAATAATCTAGACCTAATGTTAAATTTTAACTATTTATCAATTAAATTTAAAATTCAAATGACCATATTTTTGTAACGGTAATAGATAAAAGAGTTTTTTTTAATGTACAGGAAAATTTATGTACTTTAATTTACTTCTACATGACTTTATTGAAATAACGTTAAATAAAGGAGTAAAGTTTAAAAAATTAGAAAAATTTCAGTTAAAAAAAAAATTTTTAAATCAATATAATTTGAGTTTCCCTCCAACGATTATTTTAATTTTCGTCTTAAAATGATCGTGAGGCATCACCGAACTGATATAAAAAAAAACCTGAGAAGGGTCATGCAGTTTAGGTTGAACCTAAACGAAGCTCACCGTGCTCTACATTGATAAAGATTTGTTTTATAAATTCCACTTTGATATCGCTAAAACTCGGCGGTATTGAATAAGCCAAGCTAGAGCATAATTCAATTCTTTGAAAAACTATTCATGCTCATTATCATTTTTGTTTACAAAATTTAAAAAAATTTCTTTTTGATGCTTCTCATACGCGCGTTTGGCAGTATGAGCACCCAAGAATTTTTCAGTTTAGTTAAAACGGCTTCATATTGCTACGAGGCTGTTGTCAAATTCAAAGTGTGGAATTTGTCAACTCAAATTTTTTTTCCGCCATCGTTGCCATTTTTGTAGCGTTTAACAAATGGAATTTCCCACTAATCACATTAGTGATTACAAGTTTTAATTTAAAAAGAACTATTTGCAAATAGCTCCCACAAAGCACCGATAATTCCCTAAAGCTTCATTGAATAATTTTAGGTTACCTTGGGAAAGTTCCATCTCCACGTTCAGAAAAGATGGTATAAATCTTAAAATGTCCGCATGTGAGCAAATGTTTAAGGCGAAACTTGGCTGAATATGTAAATTATATTTTCGTTGAAGGTTCAAAATGAAAGTAGACTGAATATGTAAATTACATTTTCGTTGAAGGTTCAAAACATTTATATAAAATATACATTTTTATTTTATTATTTTTATTTATTTTATCCCTTTTTATATGTAAAGACTATTATTTAAACAGTAATTAAATTTATTTAAAAAAAATACACCAGCTAAAACTTTTTTTGAGTTAAAATAATAAAAAAAAATTCATGTCAATAAATTAAATATGAGCACTTTTTTCACAAAAACTGTAACAGTACTTTCTCAGAAATTACAATCAAAAATGCAATTTCCATTTGGAAAATTAATAAACGCTAAAAAATATACGACCTAAGATTTACCAATCACGAAAAAAACAAAAAAAAAATTTTATTAAATATTTAACATATTGATACTGCTTTACTGATTGTGACAGCCCTTTGGTAGATTATGTATTTCAGGTGGTTAGCAACAGCGCCAATCTCCTCCTTTCGGCAAATCTGCGAAACGTCTGGTGACATATATAACCTGCCAAACGGCTGTCATAATGAGTAAAATATGTTATGTTAAAATACTTTTTTTTCTTATTTTCGTGATTGGTAAATCTTAGGTCGTATATTTTTTAGCGTTTATTAATTTTCCAAATGGAAATTGCATTTTTGATTGTAATTTCTGAGAAAGTACTGTTACAGTTTTTGTGAAAAAAGTGCTCATATTTAATTTATTGACATGAAATTTTTTTAATTATTTTAACTGAAAAAAAGTTTTAGCTGGTGTATATCTTGCCAATAATCAATTATCCATAAAGGAAAAAGCATTTTACCATCTTGTTTTTAAGAAAAGGCTGTTGAAAATTTTCCAAAATTTTAGTATCAATGTAGATGGCGCTGCCTCACTTGAACCTGGCACATGCGAACATTTTAAGATTTAAACCATCTTTTCTGATATAGGGTTGTGAGTCGTGAAACGTTTCATTGAAAGATTGAAACTTTCATTTGAAAGTTTCAGTCTTTCATGGACGAAAATTTCATTAGTTTCATGAAACATTGGAGAACCAATAGTAAGCCTTCATGTGCACATGCGCAATAACGTAATAAATATTTTAGGTTAGGTAAAAAAATAAACTTGTGAAAAATTAATTATAATAATAAAATGTTTTACATTTTATTATTATATCATAATTTTGCCTATGTTTCGAACTGAAACCAGTTCATCTTCTGGGCTAAAAATTTAAACAAAATATCACATTAAATAATTTTTCAATCAAAACAATTTAAATGTAATAAATATCTGTTTTAATTTTCGAGTAATCGTTTGTATGCTATTTTTATGTATTATGATTATCGAGAGAGATATTTATTATATTTATTTAAACTGTTTTGATTGAAAAATTATTTAATGTCGTATTTTGTATGAAATGTTTATAGCTTTGAAAATGAACAGATTCCAGTTCGAAACGGAGACAAAATTCTAATATAGGGTAAATGCACTAATTGCGGCGAGATTCGAGTCAAAACACCTTTGAAATAGAAAATTCGACATTTCTATTGTATAAACTCAATTTAAGACTTATTAAACTTAAAGCTTATGTTATTAAGATATTAAAAAAAAATTTTAACTCTATAAAAATCGATTATTTAAACAAATATGAGGAATTAAAACTAATACCGTAATTTTCTATTGCGGCGAGTTTGTATCAGTTTCGGTGTATCAATTTCGGTGACCAAAATTGCGTGTATTTTGAAGATACTTTGCCCGCCGAAATTGAAGCCAATGGAAATCTTAAAAATGTTTCAATTGCGGCGCGGAAAAAAATTTGATCTCAAATAATTAAATTAATAATTGTTTAAATGTGCATCTTTATAAGTATTTGTATTAAAAAAAGATTGAAATAATTTTTTTTAATCATTTGGCAACAGTTATATTAAATAGAATAGTAATAATAGTTATTTTTTATGAACGCGCCGTTATTGGTGCACTCGCCGTAATTAGTACACTTACCCTAGTAATAAATCAAATATGACCAAAAAATCCGTTTTAAAACATTATTATTTCCAGTCGTTAAATTAATTAATATTATTATTAATGATTTATTATATATAATTTAAATATTCCCGCCTCTTTCTTTGAAACTTTGAAACGTTTCATGAAGCATTGAAACTTTCATGAAACTTTCATTCAACGAAAATTTCATGAAACTTTACAACCCTATTTCTGAACGCGGAGATGGAACTTTCCCAAGGTAACCTAAAAACATTCAGTGAAGCTTCAGGGAATTATCAGTGCTGTGTGGGAGTATTACTTAAATGAAAAAATGAATCTACATAGATTTAATTATATTTGGTAACCAGAACAAGTACGCCATTAACATTTTTTTAATAAAAATGAATAAAAATCGCTATAGTTCGTTCTTAGTAGAAAAGAATTTTTAATTTAATTTATTTAGTTTTGTTTAAATTTCCGATATAAAAATGTTTTTAAGAAATTTTAAATTATTTAAATACTTACAGTATTTGCTGATTTCTCATCCAAAAAACATAGTAGTAACATCTTTGACATTATAGTAGAAACAAAATTCAACCACCAAAGATATTCATATATACTAATTTTTGTATTTTTAAAAGACATCTGAAATCGATAATTTGTTTATCACAATTATAATTAGAGCAACTAGTAATAATATTACAAATTTTTATTAAATTTCTCACCAAAAATAGAAAAAATTGAACACATAATTCATAAGATAATTGAAGCACTTTTTGATGAAATACATTGTTGAACGTCTTCTGAATTAAAATTGCATATCTGTTAAAAAATTTTTTTACTTCAGTCTAAATAAATAATTAAAAATTAATTTCTTCTTTCGTTATATTTTTTAACACACATCCATACCATAAATGAAAATTTTGATTGGATATGTCTTATCGCAAATATTCAGATTTCAAACCTTTTAAGATTTTCATGTTGAACGACAAATATTTTAAGTTCAGGCTGATATTCTACGTGAGATTGAAATTGATGACTATTTATTAAATCTTGAATGTTATATTGTAAAAAATTAATCAATCCACTGTAAATAATTTGAGAGATAACACGTTTTGTAAATTGAAATAAAATAATAAATTTATAACTTGAAGTTTCTGATGTATTATAAGGAATAGTTGAATGATAGAAAAATTGTCGAAGTTCATCAAGAAAAGTACAATATAGTATGATGATTATGGAAAGTTGAGCATTAGACGTCGTAATATTTTTATTAAATTCACTTATTTTATGATTCCAGTTTTCATAAATTGATACAATTAATTCCTTCAATGCTGTAATTAAATATATAAAAAAAGACTTTTTTTCGTAGAATTTGTTATATTTACGCATTTTATTAAAATATGAAATAATTAAATAATAATTTTCTTTAAATAAATTAAAAATTCTCTTTATTTTCATTTTAATTTTCCAAAAGTTATCTTTAATAATTAGCAACTATTATATTGGACAATAAATTTAAAAAATTTCTGAAATAGGGAATTGTCACGTTTATTTTTTGAAAATAAAATAATATTTTCAAAATTAAAATTTTAATTCTTTCACAGCCAGGATTATGATGTCAGTGTTTCAAAAATCAAAATGGCGGATCCAATATGGTGCTCGAAGAAATTTTAAATCCGTTTATATTTGCTTTAAACTTGTTACTCTTAGGGTTTTCATTGTTGTGGATTACAAATCTGATATTAAAGTTGTAATTAATGATCCCGAAAACTCCCGAATAACAACTTTTAAACAATTTGGAACGATTAAAAAAAAGCCGCCATATTGGATCCGACATTTTGAATTTTTAAAAATTAACTAACTAAACTAATAAAATCGTGAGCAGGGATTCATAAACTGCAAGTAACTTCTTTAACCTGAATAAAAATTTCTTCAGAACTACTTTAAATTAAAGGTTAATTACTTTTTTAAAAGTATTTTAAGTGATTTCAATAAATATTTAGATTTTGTTTCTAAACAATAGTAAGTTTTGGACAGAATCTAATATTGATATATTTGCAAACAAAGTTTAATATTGTAAATTATTCTTACAGGAATTATCTTTGTCTATTTTTGCAAAGTGCAAATATTTTCCACACTCTAAAAGATGTGGGAAAATTTATTAATACTAAATTTTCGGCAGCAGCATTAACATCTGGCAAACTTTGAAATAAAAATTTTGCCTCTGTCAGTGTAAAAATTAAGAAAAAATTTATTTTTGCTAAAAATAAGATAAAATTTCAAATTTTTTTTTTTTTTATTGAACTAGAAGAAAATTGAAAAATAGATATGGGCAAATCCACGAATTTTTTAACTTTTGTGATTCTCGAATCGAACACTTAAGAGCATTTGAACCTTCGTGACGTCACAAATCATGGCGCATGACACGCAAACTTCTCAGGTATGTGAAAAGCACAATTTTGAATATTTTTTAAAAAAACCTTTTGGAAAATGTTCAGAATAACATAGACTCTGTCTGTTATGTGCGGAAAATTCAAAATTTTGCGTTTAAAACGTTTTTTAAACAATGTTAAGGTCACAAATCATGGCGCATTACACGCAAACTTCTCAGGTATGTGAAAAACACAATTTTGAATATTTTTTAAAAAAACCTTTTGGAAAATGTTCAGAGAAACATAGACTATGTCTGTTATGTGCGAAAAATTCAAAATTTTGCGTATAAAACGTTTTTTAAACAATGTTTAAGTTGGTTGTCACAAGTAAGGAAAAATACACGAATTGCTTATATGTAGGCATTGTTTAAAAAACGTTTTAAACGCAAAATTTTGAATTTTTCGCACATAACAGACAGAGTCTGTGTTATTCGGAATATTTTCCAAAAGGTTTTTTTTAAAAAATATTCAAAATTGTGTTTTTCACATACCTGAGAAGTTTGCGTGTCATGCGCCATGATTTGTGACCTTAACCCTTTAAGGACCAAATGTACAAAAATTTTACCTGAATTTTGGCAATTTTTTTAACTAACAAAACGCATTAAGAAAAAATTCGCAATATACATTTCTTATGGTCCATGAACCGCTCTTTCAGATGGTGCATCTGAAAAAACCGTAAATTGAAAATTAAACAAATTACAGATAATTGTTTATAAAAAAACACGAATTTTCAAGGTTTTTTTTTTACTTTAGAATTTTTTTGGACCATGTACCATTTTAGAATATCTTCGCCAGGTACAAATAACGCGTCAAAAATGTTCGCCCTTTGACATGGTGGCATAGATTTTAATAAAAAACTAAATGTCAAAAAAATATTGTTAATTAAAGTTGACATTTTAATAACAAAAAGGCAGCTATTGTCAAACAATTTAAAAACTCATCGGATCCTCTCGAAAATTGTTACTCGGGGGTTTTCGGGCTCGCTGATTACGAATCTGAAGTCGATTTTCAAAAATTCAAAATGGCGGATCCAATATGGCGGACGTCAAAATGAAAAACTCATCGGATTCACTCGAAAATTGTTACTCAGGGGTTTTCGGGGTCGCTGATTACGAATCTGAAGTCGATTTTCAAAAATTCAAAATGGCGGATCCAATATGGCGGACGTCAAAATGAAAAACTCATCGGATTCACTCGAAAATTGTTACACGGGGGTTTTCGGTGTCGCTGATTACGAATCTGAAGTCGTTTTTCGAAAATTCAAAATGGCGGATCCAATATGGCGGATGTCAAAACAAAAAACTCATCGGATTCACTCGAAAATCGTTACTCGGGGGTTTTCGGGGTCGCTGAGTACGAATTTGAAGTCAGATTTTCAAAATTTTTATAATTCAAAATGGCGGATCAAATATGGTGGACGAAAAATTAAAAATTCATTGGATTCACTCGAAAATCGTTACTCGGGGGTTTTTGGGGTCGCTGATTACGAATCTGAAGTCGTTTTTCGAAAATTCAAAATGGCGGATCCAATGTGGCTGTAAAATGTTCAAGAATTCATCGCAGACGATTGAATTATTTGTATTTAGTTATTTTTTATTATTTTTTATTTAGTTAATTTTTTTTTAATTTTTTGATTCCCAAAGGGTGTGCTGCAGTTTTCTGAAAAGATTGACTATATTTTTATAAGTTTAAAGAATATTTACTACGTTCTTCAGCCGTCAAATTGTCTAAACGTTATCCGACTCTCACCGCGTGGAGGTAAACGTAGATTGGAGAGCCTTTTTTTAATTTTTTTTTAGATTTTTTAATTTTTTAGATTTTTTTTAGATTTTTTATTTTAAAAATTTTTTTTTATATTTTTTGATTTTTTAGATTTTTTTTAGATATTTTAATTTTTTAAAAATTTTTAAAAATTGTTTTTTATATATTATTGTCTTTTTTCATTGCAGTCTTTCATTGCTTAGTCTTTGACATTTATTTATTATGCGTTGAAGAAAAGCATTCTTTGCAAAAGTAACCTGTGCACAATTTGCAATATAGAAATGTTCTGATCTCGCAGGTGTCTTGAGAACAATACTTTCTTTTTTGAGTTGTTTCCAGCGAATGGTTTTTGAAATCATCTGATTTTTTTGTTGACAAATAATGTTTGGCAATACTTAGTGCGAAATCTTTCACTGACATTTTTTTTTCTTCTTTGACAACAGCATTCCTTAATAATATAGCATTTGTAAGAGAAGATTGAATCATTCTCAAAAACACTGGCCAGGTCCACCTCTTACTTCGAAAAGTTGGTAACGCTTTACTACAATATTGGTCTTGTAGGTCAACACCTCCCATATATTTATTGTAGTCTTTAAAGGCCTTGGGCATTTTGAAATTGTCCCTAGCTTTTTTTTCTTTAGAATAGCGTTCCACGTCTTTCATTGGTTGAACTCCAGCTGCTGTTGAAAGCAAAGAAACTTCTTTGGAATCCATGATAGCGATGTAGTTTAAACCACTATTTTCTTCGTGCTTAACTATAAATTCACCTCTGGAAGCATTTTTATTTAAAGAAAATTTTTCTTTCACTCGATCTTTTCTAACAACTCCAGTTGCTTTCAAACCGCATTTTTTTAAATGGACAAGCAAATCGGGATTTGTGAAGTAATTATCAAAATAAATGTGATATTCACCTAGCTTCTTTCTGGTAGTTGTTAAAAGCAATTTTTCAGTCATGTTTAAAATCACGCGACTTCCCAAAGCACATTTCGATAATATACCTTCATTGTTTTTCGAATTTTTTCCACAATAAATATCAGATTCGAACAGAAACCCATCGGCACCACACAGTGCCCACATTTTGACGCCGAAACGCACTGGCTTATTACGAATGAATTGCTTAAATTTCAAACGACCATAAAACTTGATCATCATTTCGTCTGCTGAAATCGCTGTTTGAAAAAAACCAAAGCGCTTTATATTAGTTTTAAACAATTCAAAAATTTTTCGTACTCTCCATGCTGGGTCACTTGAATTTTCATCATCCTTTTTCGAGAATTTTAAATTAGTTTTGATTTTTAAAAATCGATTTCGGCTCATAGCTGACTTGACAACGGTACATTCTAAAAAAGGATCCGTTGACCAATAATCTTTTTCAGCTGTTCGTTTATTAAATATTGTTAAAATAATTATGGCGATGAAAGTTTCTAACTCTTGTAATGAAATCTCTAAACCATTTTCGAAAGATGCTTCTATAATATATTCCTTCATTGAAAGTGAAAAAAACATGTCGAAAATTTCAACAGGCGTACTGTTACGAATTGTATTTTTATCTTTATCAGTCAAAAGATATTCATTCAATAACTTATCATTGTATCGCTTTTCGCCGTCAACCCAACTATACTCATGATCTTTTTCTAAATACTTCTGATTTTCAGTATAATTTTCAAAAACTTCTCTGTATGCCTTGTTATTGGTACAGAAAATTTCTTCACCTTCATAATCATCATTTTGACTTTTATAATCATCATTTTCATATTCAGAATCATCTTCAGCATCTGAGGTGTTTGAATTAGGCAGTATAGCGATATCAATTGTTTCGTCATTTTCAAATAATTCTGTACGTGCCACTTCAGATGCTGAATAAGTAGATTGAGCCGATTTTCGACGAGGCATGCTACTCACTTCCAAGGAGAAAAAAGTATTTATATTGTAAAAGTTATACAAACCTGCTGTGACGGTCGAAAATAAATTTCGTAATACAAAAAATTTACACTACTACAAGGTACTTATAATATTTGATGTCCGTGTTTCTTGTGAGAAAGTCATCCATCTATCGGAGCTTTTGGGAATTAATTTTGGCGGGTTATTTCAAATGCAGTTGTACACTTTCATATAATTTCTTTGATTTTCGGCTGCTAATAATAATAAAGCTAAAATATTATATATCAAAAATAGAGAAAAAATATAAAAAATTATAAAATTTAGAAAATTTTTATCGGATATTCTGAAAATCGACATCAGATTCGTAATCAGCGACCCCGAAAACCCCCGAGTAACAATTTTCGAGTGAATCCGATGAGTTTTTCATTTTGACGTCCGCCATATTGGATCCGCCATTTTGAATTTTTGAAAATCGACTTCAGATTCGTAATCAGCGAGCCCGAAAACCCCCGAGTAACAATTTTCGAGAGGATCCGATGAGTTTTTAAATTGTTTGACAATAGCTGCCTTTTTGTTATTAAAATGTCAACTTTAATTAACAATATTTTTTTGACATTTAGTTTTTTATTAAAATCTATGCCACCATGTCAAAGGGCGAACATTTTTGACGCGTTATTTGTACCTGGCGAAGATATTCTAAAATGGTACATGGTCCAAAAAAATTCTAAAGTAAAAAAAAACCTTGAAAATTCGTGTTTTTTTATAAACAATTATCTGTAATTTGTTTAATTTTCAATTTACGGTTTTTTCAGATGCACCATCTGAAAGAGCGGTTCATGGACCATAAGAAATGTATATTGCGAATTTTTTCTTAATGCGTTTTGTTAGTTAAAAAAATTGCCAAAATTCAGGTAAAATTTTTGTACATTTGGTCCTTAAAGGGTTAACATTGTTTAAAAAACGTTTTAAACGCAAAATTTTCAATTTTCCGCACATAACAGACAGAGTCTATGTTATTCTGAACATTTTCCAAAAGGTTTTTTTAAAAAATATTCAAAATTGTGCTTTTCACATACCTGAGAAGTTTGCGTGTCATGCGCCATGATTTGTGACGTCACGAAGGTTCAAATGCTCTTAAAACTTTGGGTATCATTTTTTTTTTGCTAAATTATATACAAAGGAACATTTATGTATAGTATTAGAACAAAATATTTATTTGACAATTAGTTTTATAAGTTAAAAAGTGAAAAAATGCTTAAATTTCATTTGAATTTCTTGAAAAAGTTTATATTCTTAACGTTTTTATTTTTTCGGCGTGTAAAATATCACTTCTACTATGGAAATATCAAACAGACATATTTTGTCAAAAAATTTTCATTATGCCATTAGTGTGCCACCACTAAAACTAAAAATACGAAGGTTTGATTGAGTGATAGCACTTTTTAAAAAAATTCAATTGAACGTCTTCTTATGAAAATATCTATTACGGCGTTGGAAAATAATAAAAGTTCAATGCATTTCTTAAAAGGTGATGAAAAAACATAACTTTTAAGACCTTCTTCAATGATGTGCCTCTAATTGTATTCCTGTGGCAACAATTTAAAGAAGATAATAAAAATCGTGATTTCATTTAAATTTATACATTTTTGAAAGGCACAACTGCATTTTTGCTTTAAACAGGTCAATCTATGGTGTAATCGAAACATTTTCATACATATATTTGAACACAAAAACGCCGCTTAAGGATTTTGAGTGAAATAAATTTTATTAAGTTAAGAATATGCTCAAAACACTTTTTTGGAGTCTTTACCACCTCTTTTTTCAAAATCCTGACGTGCTAAGCAAATTTGGGTGCCAGAATCGTGTTCAGAGGACGAAAATACATTGGAAAGCACTCCGATATCAAAAATAAAAAAAGTTGAATTTTTCAATTTTATATGTAATTTATTAACATTAAAGAGTTTAAAGAGTTAAACATTGACCGCGTGAGCTAAAAATGAATCACGCATATGAATTTGTAGTGCTAAAATGTACTTAAACATTGTATACAAAGTGACATCAATGTGCCTGCAAATGAAAAAAAGAAAATTTTTTTTCTTGAAAGTTAAAAGTTTCGTGGATTTGCCAATATAGAGTTATAAATTTATTTTCAACAAACGTTTTTCTCTTTATTTTTACATTTTTAAAATAATAAAAAAAAATGTTAATTCTCTTAGTTGTTAATTAATTTACAATAATAATTTTAGAATAATTACCATTTTCAGATGTCATTTCGATATTATAATGATGAACTGCTTTATCCATTACAGCATTTAAGGAAATTGCGCAGGCTTCTATGGTGGGATGAAACTCTTCACTTTAGTATTTAAAATCTTAATTTTATAAAAGTTTAAAAAGTTTGAAGTTTAAGTTTAGTTAAAGTTTAAGTTCTAGACAAAAAGAACTAATAGCCATTTATGAAAAAAAAATTTTTACTCAGAATAAGAACTAATAGTCATTTATGAAAAAAAAACTTTTACTCAGAATATTAAATAAGTTGAACTCTTTTTCATTATTGAGAAAGAAAAAAAGTTTTCAATTTTGTTGAGTCACGTTTAAAAAACTTTTTTCTCTTTTTCATTATATTGGTCAATAATCAGTCATCAACTGCTTGTCATTAGGGAGAGTAGTCTTTCTTTTTAATTATCTTCCACAAGATTCAGTTTTTAAATTGCAATCAGTGTCGTCAAATATTTTTTAAAATTAAATGTAAAATTGTCAAATATGTTTTAAAAAAAAATAATTTTCTTTGACTATATTTCGTCGATATAACAATAAAAAATTTATATTAATTAACATTTTTTTCTTTAGTGAAAAAAAAAATTTTTTAAATAAAGTCAAAATTTTTTAAACAGATCACCTAAAATTTAGAAATAAAATAATTAATTTTTAACGAAAAATTATTTTTTTGATTCTTAATAATCAAAATAAGTTTTTTTGAAATTATAAGATAAAAAAAATTTGTTGTTAAATCGTTTAATTTGTTATTAATAGTAGTCAAAAATGATTAATGTTAATTCTTTTTAAATTAATTAACATTAAATCCTGTAAAAAATTTTAAAAATTGTATTTTCTACTGCACTTATATTTTTTAATATTAAATATAGATCATCTGTTTAAGAAATTATGAGTCAATAATATTTATTCATGTTTTAAAAAACGATTCTTTGATTACAATTTTTTTATTATACAAAAACCTTCTAATACAAAAAACTTTTTTTGAATCCAAAATAATACAAAAAAAAAATTTCAAATTTGTAAATCAAGTCAGAGAAAATAAGCTTTTCTCAACAAAAAAGTTTTTTTCAATGAAATTTGTAATAAGCTTATTTTTTTTTTGCAGATATTTGGATAATTCTGTGGTAAAAAGTGATTTAAAAATTAATAAACTTGCATAAAATTTTGGAATTCACTTGAAAATCTTTACAATTTAAAGCAGTAAGTTTAAAATTATAAAACAAATGCTTTTTATTTATACTGTAAGTGATTGCATAAAAAATAGAAAATGGTTTGTTGTACAAAAATGATTAAATAGTGAACGGAAAATTAGTCACTAATTTTCTTCAAATTAGATAGAGATTAGGAAAATATTTCAATAAAAATATTAGGATTTAAGGTATTTCATATATTTCGTACGATTTTAAAATTAATCAAAATAGACAAATTTTAAGTTATTAATTTGAATAAAAAACCACTAGACAATTTTAACGAAACTTGTCGTAATATAAAACAAAAATTACTGTCAAGTACAATATAAAGTTAGTGGATTGAAAGTTTGAAGATTGTGAAAATAATAGATTTTGGAAATAGTTTACTTTGGAAAAATAATAGGTTAAGAAAAGTATACTATGGGAAAATAATATAGAATGTGGATTTTAACGATTGAGAAATATGTACCCTAACAATTCATATCGTTACAAAAAATTGTAATATTAAAGACAAATTCATTGAGATTATTCCGTGAGTTTCATATTTTCCTGTCGAGTATACGTTAAAACTACCGTAGCATTCAAAAAGTCATACAACCACATTACACGAAATAAATTGTCGTAATTTTTGAAAGTTGTTTGTTTCAAGAAAAATATTAGAATTTTCGGATGAAATCGATTTTGTTTTAAATTTCTTACATGGCTGAATGATTTCTTAAGCGAAGTAAAATTCTGATCGTCAGCAATTATAATAAAAATCACTTCTTGAAGATCGTTGATGATTAATTTTGAATACAGATCATCAGCATCAAATTGAAAATTGATAATTGTATTTGGAAATCGAGATGTTATTTCAAACAAATCGTCATGTATGGAAATTTCTTTGGGTTTATTATTGTCTCTTGTGATTATAACTTGATTAACTTTAGCATCTTTTTGAATATAATTTGTCAAATTTTGCAACCAATTGATACCATAACAAAACTCGTTTTGAACTAAGAGATAAATTAGAGTTTTAAAAATCATTGTTTTCGTGTACATAAAAACAATTTTTTGAAAAGTTTTATTGTAATGGAAACTTGTTTTAGAGAAAGAATAACATAACAACAAAAAAATCTAATTCATACTAACATGAAACTTTCTGATTTGATTTTAAAAAAATATTTACCAATAAGTTTTTTTATTTTTTCTATAATATATATTGCACTTTATGCCAAGTAACTGAAAGTAATTTTCTATCACTTTTTTCTTCATTTTAAACATAGATATAAATCTTTTTTTTAAAAAAAGAATATTGATTATACTGCCGACCTGATTTTTAAAACATACTTTCTACCTTTTTGCATCATTTCGAGAAATTTGACAAAACGCGTTTGCATCTGTACTTAATTATATTTTTAAAAATATAACAATGCCTCTTGATTAATTTAAGTATATAGGTAAAATTTTATTATTTAAAAAAAAAGTTGCAATCTTTAATTGCAAATATGCAAAACTGTTAATATAATTTTTAATTAAGTGCAAAATCGATGTGAATCATTATTAAAAACCATTTCCACGTACCCAAGCAAAAATTTACAACCGGCACAGTGTTGCGCCAGTTCTGACAATTACTGGCAAAATACTGACCTCCAATATTGAACCAATACTGGTATATGTTTGGGATGATAACGTTTATTAGTGTCAGGGTTGGACACAGTTTTGGTTTTTTGTTTATAAATATTTTGTTTAGATAAATTCAGTCAATTGTGTTATATGGGTGGAAAGATCTACAAAAGAGGAACACCTTTGCTGTGGACCGTAAATTGATTGGTCAAAAATTAAAAAAGGTATAAACATTTAAAAAAAAAATCTAGTCAGGGTTGGACACTTTTTGAAAATCGAAACGCATTATTGGTAAAAACGTAAAATAACATTTGTAATGTTTTTTATTCTTATTTTTTCATGTTTATCTTTACTTATTGTTAATAAATTGTAAAGCTTCATGGGTTTAAAAAAGGAATGAACTCAAATTATAAAAAATAACGCTTTATTGTTCCAAATAACTCAATGAAATGATGAACAAAATTTATACAATTTAAGTATTATTTTTCTAATATCTTTGGCACAATTTTGCACTGAAATATCAATAAAAAAAAATTTATTTATAAATTGTGTCAAATTCATAATTAATATGGGTGTCCAACCCTAACTAGAAGCATCATTTTCGAATTGTGCTAACCATAACTAGACATGTGTCGCGATTCGATTTTTCACTTTTTTTCTTCTTAAATTATGTACCCCACAATACATTCAATAAGCTTACCTTGCCGAATTCTTGCTTTCTTTACACATTTTTTAGGTTTATTCACAAGTCAAACAAAACTTTTTTTGTCTCTTCGATTGCACCGAAGTCACAGGAGACGCTACTTTTGATTCTCCAAAAATGTAATGCCACAAAAAGTTAGGTTACACTACTAGAAGATTCGTCACGTACGCACACAGGTGGCGCTAGTGTTCTTATTAAAAAAAAGCCAAGTGTCCAACCCTGACACTATTCCCCTATTTATTTGTATTTCTTTAAATTACCGAAATTGAATGAAATTATTGGTTAAAATAGAGTTTATTTGATTCAAATATATTTTTTCAGTGTAAGAAAAATAATTTGAGAACTTTATTAATTATGTATTTTTTTTAATAAAAAGTTTTAATATTAAATTTAAATTTCATAATTTTATTAACGAACGCGTTGCAGTAATCGAAAAGAAGTATTAAAATAATTTAAAAAATATATGTATGTAAATTTAATTTCTAACCAACAAAAAAATACACAATTTTCACGTCTATGAAGTTGGCGTCAACGCTCAACGTCGAAAATTATTTTTCACGGGATTAAAAATAACAAATCATTTTTAAAAAAGTTTTGGGTTCACATAATACCTTAAAAAGTATTTCCTAAGGCATTACATATGTGACAGTCCCCGAGAGAAGGGACCTTAGCTCACCAAAACGAATTTCACAGGGCAAGCGTTTGAAGAAGAAGCAGAAACGCGGAAATCGAAGAGTGGGGCGGAACTTCTGAAAAGTTCCCCCACCACACTAACACAACGTTGTGTTTCTGTATACGTGAGCTTCGTCTACTTCGTGTATCTTCGGGTCTCAGTCAGCACGAACCGAGCGAAGCTCACGTACGCGAGAGTATAGTTGTGTAAGTAAAGTAGTGGGGCTGATTTCTTGAGTGCCACAATCCGCCTCGAAATGCGCTTGACATACCCATCTTCAAAATGTTATTGTGTCAAAAGCAATTATCCTAATCAGTTTTTGACTTTTGCATGTGAAAAAGCAATTCAAAATCTATCATTTACCATATAAAACTCAATATTGACCTCTGGTGAGCTAAGGTCCCTTCTCTCGGGGACTGTCACATATTTGGACCGAAAATCTTTTAAAAAAACAATAATTTGACATTTTTGGTCATGTGAAAAATAATTTTTGGCGCTGAACGTCAACGCCAACTTCATGGAGGTCAATTTTTATAATTTTTCTGGATACTGGGATTCGGTATTGAATTAATACTGACCAAATAGGTGGTTTGCCATTACTGTCTCAATAATACTGGCACAGTATTGGAAAATACTGGCATGCCTGTATTGGCACAGTACAGAATTTAATCCATATCAGTACTGAACCCATACTGGTAAGCCAACTGTCGGCAAGCCAGTATTGGTGCATGATTGCGCCTATTGTCAATATCGGCGTTTGACAGACATTTTTGCTTGGGTAAATGTGTTTTTCTGTTAGGTTTACAGCTCATTTATGCTAGACTGCCCTAATAAAAAATTCACTATCTATACGAACATTTACAATTAGAAAATTTATGCTTAAATTTTTAAAACTTTCTATTCTATGTAATACTAAAAATTTTATTAAATCGTATATGAAATTCTTGTTATGCAATTGATGACATGACGCTCACACACATTAAGGCCAGGTCCAAGTGAGGCAGCGCCATCTACATTGATACTAAAAATTTGGAAAATTTTCAACACCCTGGCGGATTGGAAAAACCGAGTTGTAACCGAATTGGGTTACAATTCGATTACGTTTCGGTTCATTGTGAAATATTATCGTTAATCGACGAAATATGTAGTAAATAACTATTAGGAATGATTAATATACATTAAGAGAGCTTATTTATGCAATAATAATAATAAATTAAGATATAATTAATTAATAATAAGTGTTTTAAGTGTACAGTGCATACAGTTGTTGAATTACCATATATATGTATATTACCAACAGCGGCAGCTGTGATACGCGCATTAAACCCTAGATGGCGTTAAGGATGACTTTGTGAATGAATTTCTAAAATTAAGCCCTTGAGTGTCAAATGTATAAGTAAATATATAAGTTTTAAAAAAATAGATCAATTTATTAAAACAACTTTTTTGATTTGTACAAATATAAAAAAAAAATTTTATAACGAACAAAAATTTTTTTAATGAGAAAAAGTTTTTTTTGTGTCAAAGGAACAGCTGACTCGACTTGGACCTGGCCTTAAGGGCTTAATTTTAGAAATTTATTCACAAAGTCATCCTTAACGCCATCTAGGGTTTAATGCGCGTATCACAGCTGCCGCTGATGGTAATATACATATATATGGTAATTCAACAACTGTATGCACTGTACACTTAAAACACTTCTTATTAATTAATTATATCTTAATTTATTATTATTATTGCATAAATAAGCTCTCTAAATGTATATTAACCATTCCTAATAGTTATTTACTACATATTTCGTCAATTAACGGTAATATTTTACAATGAACCGAAACGTAACCGAATCGTAACCCAATTCAGTTACAACTCGGTTTTTCCAATCCGCCAGGGCAGCCTTTTCCTGAAAACAAGAAGGTAAAATGTTTTTTCATTTATGGATAATTGATTATTGGCAAGATATACACCAGCTAAAACTTTTTCTGAGTTAAAATAATAAAAAAAATTTCATGTCAATAAATTAAATATGAGCACTTTTTTCACAAAAACTGTAATAGTACTTTCTCAGAAATTACAATCAAAAATGCAATTTCCATTTGGAAAATTAATAAACGCTAAAAAATACACGACCTAAGATTTACCAATCACGAAAATAACAAAAAAAAAGTATTTTAACATAACATATTTTACTCATTATGACAGCCGTTTGGCAGGTTATATATGTCACCAGACGTTTCGCAGACTTGCCGAAAAGAGGAGATTGGCGCTGTTGCTAACCACATGAAATACATAATCTACCAAAGGGCTGTCACAATCAGTAAAGCAGTATCAATATGTTAAATATTTAATAACATTTTTTTTGTTATTTTCGTGATTGGTAAATCTTAGGTCGTGTATTTTTTAGCGTTTATTAATTTTCCAAATGGAAATTGCATTTTTGAATGTGATTTCTGAGAAAGTACTGTTACAGTTTTTGTGAAAAATGTGCTCATATTTAATTTATTGACATGAAATTTTTTTTATTATTTTAACTCAGAAAAAGTTATAGCTGGTGTATATATTGCCAATAATCAATTATCTATAAAGGAAAAAACATTTTACCTTCTTGTTTTCAAGAAAAGGCTGTTGAAAATTTTCCAAAATTTTAGTTTCAATGTAGATGACGCTGCCTCACTTGGACCTGGCCTTAACTGAATTATTAAATTATTAACTGTATTTTATTAAATTTCTTCTTCTTTCTTCTTATTAAATTTGTTATTTATTAATAATTACATAAAATTCAAAATAAGACTGCATTTATAGAAATTTTTATTTTTTTTTTTGCAAATTTTTTTATGAAAATGGAAATTAATGTCACCGATTTTTTGTCTTTTTGGTAATAAATAGTTATTTGTGTGTTATAAGTAAATTCTAAAAATTCACAAAAAATTTTGTATTGAATTAAAGTGGTATTCATCAGCTCTCAAATCATCATCAATAATCAGAAGGTTAAAAAAATCTTTGACATCAACTTCCGTATTCGGATATAATATAGACATTTACAATATTGCAAAAATTTTATATAATTACAATCAATTAAATGCAATTTATTTTAGCTAATACTGCCGCAGCACATCAACACTATAGTAGATTGAAAAAAATTTTATTTTGACTTCAGAGAGAAGAAAATTGAATGAAATAAAATTCATGATAAAACCATCACGTGCGCAGGTTTCACATTTAACTTTAACAAAGCTGGTAACTCTAATGACTTGTCATTAAGGTCTGATATATTTTTCTTTATTCTTTTTCATTTACACAGAAATAGAATCGCTCAATATTTCTTTGTTTAGAACATTGTTTATTACAATCTTTCTGTAACTTTATATTCAAAAAATTTAAATTTAACTAAAACACTGTATTACATATTGTCTCTTGATATATTTCTTTATTCGATTATTATTGTTATTTTTAATAATATTATTTATTTTTAATCAATAAAAATAGGCTCCAAATTATTCTAAGTGCATATGTAATAAACTGAAAAGAATGATAATTAAGAAATAAATAGAAGAATCAACTGATTATTTATTGTTTTCATTAAGAAAAAAAAAATGGAAGGTGGTAAAAAAGGTATGTATACCAAAAATGAAAATGGAGTTGCATTTTACCATGATTTTTTTTTAGAATAGTATAATAATATGTGTTATTATACATCCAGAAAAAAGATTTCTTTGAAAGAAAGAAATTGTTTTTTACGATAAACAAATTTTGAAGTGTTTTGAATCAAAGAAATTTTTTCTATGAATAATTTTTTTAACCTAAAGATAAATTTCTTTGAATGAAAGAAATATTTCTTTGCACCAACAAAAAATAAGTAAAGAAATAATTTCTTTAAATCAAAGAAATTTATCTTTGACCCTATAAAAATACACATATTTCTTTGCTTCAAAGAAACGTTCTTTGAAACAAAGAACCTTTTTTCTGGGTGTAGATTTTAAAACTTTGTTGTCTTACTGATTTTTATTCCAAAGATAACAATCATAACCTAAAATTTGTTGTTTCTTATCTACCATTCTTTATAGCGCGTCATAAATAAATAATAAATTGAAAATAATTCAAACACTTGAAATTTATTATTATACTTTGTCCTACTGGAAGGACACTTGTCAAGCTTTAAAAATTTCTGACTGTTTTTAATGTTAAATTGTATTTTTTTTTTTTTGTAGAGTTCGATTTTTTGTTTAGATTCTGTCGTTATAGTCTGTCATGGTTTGGGGCGTGGCCAGAGCAAAAAAATAAACTAAAATCAACAATCTCGATTATGATTCCTAATATATTTATGTCAAGTGTTATTATTATACCACAAGGAATTAGGATGTATCAAGTTCGACATGATATCGATCTATTGAGTCAAATTATTTCTACTGTAGAATTACCAGTTGCCCTCGCTATGTCAAAAATGAACGTATTTTATTTTAATAGAAAAAGTTTGTACCGTTTAAATAAAAATCAATGATATTATGAGAAAATATAGTCTCAATATTTTGACTATGCATCGTAATATTGAGACAATATTACCTCAAAAAAAAATAAAAATTTTCCATAATATATATGGTCAATTTCACATGAAATTTACCTATGATTTTCTAAATTCAGATAAATATATATTTTTCTATTCGTTACAGAAAAAATGTTTTACATAATTTTTACATTTTTTTACACCAGATTTCTAAAAAACCATATAACTCAAAATTTGTAGAAAATATTTTTCTGTAAAGAACGAAAAAAAAATATTAATCTAAATTTAAAAGGTCATATAGGTAAATATCACGTGGAATCTCCCATTATATATGAGAACTCACAGGTGAAATAATCAAAGGGTAAATAATAGTATATATTGTGGACCAAGTACCGAAAGAAGCTATTTTCCGACAAGTGCAAAATTTGCTGCTCCGAGCAAAGCGAGGGCAGCAATTTACACGAAGTCGGAAAATGTTCTTATAGTGCACACAGTACTTTGTGCAACACCAATTTAAAGAAAATGCTTTTTATTAAGTGAATAACAAGCTACAATTAATGTTTATATTTATAATAAAAAATATTTATTAAAATTCATAAAATATGTAATAATTTCTATATATATATAATTAGTTTTGTACACAAATTCAACTGCCAATAGCGAGTAAAAGTCAAAGTTCCACAAAAATAAAGTCATTACGCTCGATGCTGCCAGCTTACATACTTGTAAGCATCCTTCAACGTACTTTTCTGCACTAGTGCGGCAAAGTAATGTTTTGCGCCTAATTTACAAGCATGTAAAGTAATGCTTTTCTTTAAGGTGTTGCACAAAAATTCTTTTCAATCGCGCTAAAAGTTGGATAATAATTTGTAGTCATATTAGTTGATAATATGTCGTAAATTTTGTTTTAAATTTGAACCAATATTTACAGTACAGGAGGGAGTGGAAGTTTAAGAGTAGCGTTTTCCTTAATAATTTTTTCTTCTCAAATATTAAAAAATTTTTTACTAATATCAGTTTTTACAGCTTTTTTGATGCTGTACAGGGTTAAGACAATTTAACTAAAAAATTTAACTACAAAATTTTAGAAGCATTATCTAGTAGTAGGGGAGAGTGGGGCAAAACCGGGTACCTTTTTGGAATTCTCGGTTTACAAAGAATCTATCAAATAAATTAGTTCAAATCTCGTTGAAAATTCTTCCTTGAACACTAGAGAATGAGAAAATAAGGTCGATTACATGAAAAAAATTTTTTGATCAATTTAAACCAGGTTTTTCAAAAAAAAATGCAAAGTACCCGGTTTTGCCCCGATGGTGGGACAAAACCGGGTACTATCAAGAAAATATATAAATCATCCCAACCGAAAATTTCAGTATTATACCAGAGTTGACTACTCACAGTAAACTTGGTTGTATCTTTTTCTATTGCAACGTTTTGATGCACAAAAGTTATATCAAAAAGAAATCGTTTTGTGTATCATTTTTAGAAATGATACACGAAACGGTCTCATTTTTTTATGCAAAAAATTTAATAAATTTATATCAATCATGGCCAAATTGAATCCACTCAAAATTAAACGAATTTTTTTCAGATATTTTGGTAATAGTAAAATTGCGGAGACCATTTCACTATTTAATTTGAAAATGAAAATAACAGAAAATCAAAGACAATGTGCAATTCGATAATTTAAAAGTGACAGCTTATAAACATAACCTAAAATGCATGAGAAAAAAATTGTCGATAAAATCAATATAGCCGAGCTTTTTAGAAGGTAGATGGCAGTTTTGCTTTTTATAAAAACGATTCAGAAAAAATTTAAAGCAAGAAAATAGATAAGTGCTGCCATCTACCTTCTAAAAAGCTCGGCTATATTGATTTTATCGACAAATTTTTTCTCATGCATTTTAGGTTATGTTTATAAGCTGTCACTTTTTAATTATCGAATTGCACATTGTCTTTGATTTTCTGTTATTTTCATTTTCAAATTAAATAGTGAAATGGTCTCCGCAATTGTACTATTACCAAAATATCTGAAAAAAATTCGTTTAATTTTAAGTCGATTCAATTCGGCCATGATTGATATAAATTGATTAAATTTTTTGCATCAAAAAATGAGACCGTTTCGTGTATCATTTCTAAAAATGATACACAAAACGATCTCTTTTTGATATAACTTATGTGCATCAAAACGTTGCAAAGATTTGATGCAATTTTTGGTCTCAATTTGATACTTTTAGGAAAACTGTGAGTTGACTACTGGCGTAGTACTGGTTCACTATTGGCTGCCGAGGCTGGGATGTCTATACTGAACCAGTACTGGTATTTTCATTGTATCCGTACTGGTGCAGTACCACCCTCCCAGTACTGGCAAACCAGTACTGAGCCGATATTGAGCCAGTACTGGCTCAAATAGATTTTCATTTTGATTAATACTAGTTTACAAAAAGTTCTAGAGTGAACTCGATGAATATTTTTGTTTAAATATTTTGTTCATTAAAATTTTTTCAACTTGATTTTATTTTTCAAAATTAAAATGTACCTTATTTTGCTTTTCTGTGGGTAAAATTATTTAAACAAAAAGTTTCCTGAGACCAAGTTAATTTGTAAACTAATTTTGTTTTATGTAATTAAATTGAATTCAAAATGTTAATTTATTTACATTTGTTATAATAATTAATAAATTAAAGTGAATAATAAAATAATTAAATAGTTAATTGCATAATTATATACATTATAATTATTTTATAAACATTTTTTATTTTTACTGAACTGTTTTTATATATTATAAAAACTTTGGTTTTATAATAAACATATTTTTATATTTATTTTTTGATTTTTTAAAATAATAATTTGCAATATATATTACACCGTCCGACACGATTTTTTACACACGAAAAAATCAATGATTTTCAGAAACTAGGACCAAAAAAAAGATACCCGTGTCTGGTCGTTTTGCTAGATCAGGTCATTTTTTGCTTTTAGGGGTAAAAACAACCCTTAAATGAAAGGTGATAGGAAATCTTGTACAAATTAATAATTTTTTATGAAACCTGGTATCTCGGGGTTTTCCGGGTCGCTGATTACGAATCTGATGTTATATTTTCAAAATTCAAAATGGCGGATACAATATGGCGGTCGAAATTTATAAAAATTCACCAATTTATTTAAAAGTTGTTACTTAGGGGTTTTTGGGGTCGCTGATAACGAATATGATAAATTTCGACCGCCATATTGGATCCGCCATTTTGAATTTTCAAAATCTGACATCATATTTGTCATCAGCGACCCCAAAAACCTTCAAGTAAAAAGTTTCAAGTGAATTCGATGAACTTTTATAAATTTCGACCGCCATATTGGATCCGCCATTTTGAATTTTGAAAATCTGACATCAGATCCGTAATCAGCGACCCGGAAAACCCCGAGATACCAGACACGGTTATCTTTTTTTTTTATCCTAGTTTCTGAAAATCATTGATTTTTTCGTGTGTGAAAAAAAAGTTGAATTTTGTCGGACGGTGTTATAAGAAAGAATAAAAATTCTTAATGTTTTCGATTTTATATAATAAAATATTAATTAGTTAGTTGACTAATTTAATTAATGTTTAATTTGTGTTGGGTTACTAAAAATTTCAGACACTTTTTCCTAAGTATACCAAAAAATTATTACCTGGAGTGAAACTTATCTCTGTTACAGTTAAAGCTTTATTTTCGTATACAATAAATTACAAAATTACCAGTACTCGGCGAGTGCTGAATCAATAGTGGTTATCAATACTGGTTCCAACTCTGGTAGCCAATACTGGTAAAATGTTATCATCCCAAAGTTACGCCAACTCTGACGCCAATACTACGGGTGTCAGTACTGCGCCAGTACTGTGCCATTAGTAAATTTTTGATTGGGATGGAATATTCTTTAACTTTTTGTTCAATTATTATTATATATCACTTAAATTATAGAAAATAATTAATATTCAATAAATTTAATCAAAATATATTATATTAATAATGAATAACAGCAGTTAAATCTTTTAAAACGAAATTTTTCATATTTTTATTAATTTTTTATCGTTTATTTATCGATATGGTAAATAATTAATATATCGAAAGTTGAACATCGATTTCGAAACATATTACATGTCGTTTCTTTTGAGATAAAATTAAAATATTTATAGTGTAATGCATTTAAATATATCCGATTTTGACCCACCGTTTGGTACCCGGTTTTGCCCCGCACTGCATTTTTTAACAAAATGTAAAATTCTCAGCTTATTGTTAATAATTTAACAATTACTTTTAATGAAAATTACTCGTAAATAAATGCTGAAAAAAATGTTATACTTCCCGAAACGAATGTATCGACGCAAAAAGTATTATAAGTGATTTACTTTCGATAAAAAATGGATTTTCTTTTGACCTAAAATTTTAAAGTTGCATAAAATATATATAATAAATAAATTTTTATATAGTGCTTATATAATTAAAATGATGTTAGTTGTAATATAAAAGATATATGTAATGGGTGACACAAATGGAAATACCTATCATGGAAAACAGGGGGTACCCGGTTTGACCCGCCTACCAGGTTTTGCCCCACTCTTCCCAACATCAAGTTTTATCAAAATCTGTTTGTTTATTCGATTATCGATAGAACCTTCTTAAACCTGTAGCGCGATTGAAAAAAATTTTTTTCCCCTTTGATCACTTCACCTGAGATTCCCCGTATATGTTCTAATTTTTATAACAATTTACTTTTCCTTTTTTTTTTAGACATTACGCTTCTCTATGACCACATGGCTAAATATTGGGAAAACCATAAAAGTAATATAGAATTAGAAATAATGAGAAAAAAAGGTGTCATGGGTTTAAGAATGGCATATATATGTTTGGGCATGGGACATGCAACCATGGTCGCTCGTTTCACTCAATGTGTATTTGAAAATTTATCTAGTTGGAGTAGTCCAGAGCGCTACTGTAATTATTCATTATTTGTTGACGCCTATTATCCATTTACTTGGAATTATACTCCGCGTTTTGAATCAGTAGCCTGGACTCAAATAACGGCTATATATTTTGCAATGGTTGCCTATTCTGGTAGTGACAGTTATTATAGTCAAACTGTTTTTCATCTTTGTGCAGAATATAATATTCTACGCGTAAAACTCACGGATCTTGTCAATAATTATAAAGTTTCAAATATTAGTAATAATGAATTCTATAAAACACTTGGCTACATCGTTGAAAATCACGTAGAAATAAATATGTAGGTTCTTATATTATATTTTTACATTATTCTACATTGATAGTGCTGTGTGGCAGAATATTTTTAATCACATTTATAAAAGCATAAGACACACTCTGAAGCTTACAAAAAAAAAAAAATATATATATATTCTTTGTTTAAGAGAATTCCTCTTATTTTGTTGCAAATCGTAATCTCGATGTTGGCGACTGAGAACATAATTGTGACATCAGTTTTCATACGTGTGATTACACAGAAAATTAAAAGGTATTAAAATAAGCTGCAACGCTTATTATTTTAATCCAATTTTGCTTATTTTAATTCCAAAATGGATTGAAATAAGCAAAATTGGATTAAAATAATAAGCGTTGCAGCTTATTTTAATGCCTTTTAATTTTCTGTGTATGTTCATAATGTTAATTTTGTCGGGAACTTTACTCTCAAAATATTAAATGCATTGATCTTAAATTTTATGGAGTTGTCTCACATATCCCAGTGAACAAAAAACCATGTTCGTTCCAAAAAAGTTTTTAGAACGTTTTATGTCATCCAAAATATGTTCTAGAATATTATTCGAACATCCATGTTCTTAAAATTTTTAAGAACATTATTTGTCGGACATCAAACGTTTTTAAAACGAACATCGTTTTTAGCACACAGGGAGTCAAATTGCTATCAAAAAATAAATTTGAATGCGACTTTAAATTGAAATAAAAAATTAAATTTTAATTTAACGTCTATGTTAAATAAAACAATGAATTTGTTGAATTAAATTTGACATTGAAGTTAAAATGAATTTGATTTTGACGTCAAATCAAATTACATAATCGACATCCTGGGATATGATGAGGAAAGGCTGCTATCAGCGAAAATTATATATATTGTTGAATTAATTATTATAATATACTTTGGATATTTTTAGAAAATTCGAGATTAAGTTTAACGTCATATTGTTATGTATTTTATAATAATTTATAATAAAAATATCTTATTTTATGGATATAACATCCTTTTTTTTATCATATGTTGAATATTTTAACAAAATTTAAAAAAAAAATTTAAATCAATTCAAGTGTTTAAAAGTAAAGTTCCCGAAAAAATTAACATTGTTTACCTAATAATCAGAAGCTGTTAATATGTATATCCTTTTTAAAAGGAGAGAAATATTCTTTAACCAAGAATATTATTTTAATAAGAGGCAACTTTCTTTAGATGAAGCTAAGGGCACGAGACTGTTAGGTCACGTGATCAAAAATAATAATGTTTATGGGGCATTCCACAGGAGATTTTCATTGAAAATTTTTTTTTCCCCGAAACATTTTTTTTTTCGAAATCTATATGAAAAATAAGGATATACGTATTTTTTTATTTTTTATTTAATAAAAATGAAGGAAGTTATGATTTTTTGAAATTTAACGTCCACGATGGAAGTGTGTTTTTGGGACATTTTTTAATCTATTGTACTAATAAATTAAAAATTGTGCTATATTTTGTTCATTTTTTCTTAAATTTTTCAAATATCTGCTCAAAAATAACGTACGTATAAGAGAAGCAACAAAAAAGTTGAAATTAAACTTAAAAAGTGAGTTTTCTCAAAAGAGACACTTTCGATTTTTAATTTTTTTTTTTTTTGCATTACAATCTCTGGTGACTGAAGAATTTTTTCCCCTATCATCGAAAGTGGTACTTTTAGTTTTTAAATTACTACTTTTAATATTCTTAGTACGGCTCACAGAATTTAAGCAATTATTTTACAAATATAACCTTTTTCTATTATTATTCATTTGTTTTTTTTTTTTAATTTTCATAAAAACATACTAAAAATCGTTGCCTCGAGCTTAAAAATTGTAAATAGTAACTTAAAAACTAAAAGTACCATTTTTGCAGATAGGGGAAAAAATTCTTCAGCCACCAGAGATTGTAATGCAAAAAAACAATTAAAAATCGAAAGTGTCTCTTTTGAGAAAACTCACTTTTTAAGTTTAATTTCAACTTTTTTGTTGTTTCTCTTATAGGTACGTTATTTTTGAGCAGATATTTGAAAAATTTAAGAAAAAATGAACAAAATATAGCATAATTTTTAATTTATTAGTACAATAGATTAAAAAATGTCCCAAAAACACACTTCCATCGTTGACGTTAAATTTCAAAAAATCATAACTTCCTTCATTTTTATTAAATAAAAAAATTAAAAAATACGTATATCCTTATTTTTCATATAGATTTCGAAAAAAAAATGTTTCGGGGAAAAAAAAATTTTCAATGAAAATCTCCCGTGGAATGCCCCTTATACTATTTTAAACTTCATAAAGTAATTTCAGCTTAATCGATTAAGTATTTTGTAGGAAAATTAGAACAACGAAGAATATAGAGAGTACATTTACATGTTGAATCATGTGACCATATAACAGAAACATGCCCTTAAGTCTGATAAGGACGTATACTGTTCTGCGTCAAATCGCACCATTTATAATTTACTTGTGATTATTAAAATGCCATTAGGTCTACTATTTATAAACCACTTTAATTTTTTAAGCTTTTAAAATATTGTGAAATAACAAATAATAATTATTATTATTACCAGACATAAATAACTAATGCTAGACTTATTATATTTGATTCAAAATTGCTTGTGATTTTTGTGTCTTTATCACATCATATTTCCGTTTCTATTTATCAAAAAAAGCTTGAGTATAAAAATTGACGCCATTTCCCTAGTATTTTCCTGGTAAGACGGTTTTCTTTAAAAAAGTATTGGAATTATTCAATTTCTATCAATTTCTCTTCTGTATACAATTTTTTTAATTCCTCAACAAAGGTATGGAAAAAATAAAATTTTAATTCCTCTCTATAACACCTATAACTGAAACATAACTTTGATTTCGCCTTGATTAATATAATTTAATTGTTCTTAACAATAAACTATGTGGAAAAAAAAGGAAATTCAAAAGGATTTAATTCTTAAGTTGATATGATGGTGCAATGAAATTTTCTAATACTTTTTAATACAAGTCTTCTTACCGGGTGCTCCGGCACTATCTCAAAATTATCTAGGTAGAAATATTGTCGTACTGGACTCTGTAAAAAAATTTTTTTTGCAATTTTTCATTTCTTGAAATGGTAGTAAAGATAAATTATCATCAATGTATTGTGGCTAATAAGTGGTAACGTAAATACCATGCGTCTGCAAGATCCTGGGTACAAATTCTTGATGCGTATAAAAATTTTCAGTCTCAGATTTGAGTGTTTTATGTACAGTAATTGCTAATTAATCATACATAAGTATTAAAAATGCAGTAGTAAAAATACAAATGAATTACTCAAAGCGCGTTATATTTTTAATCAGTAACTTTTCAGATTTTTTGATCAGTCAATGTCTAGCATCTAGAAAAACTGTTAAGTGACTGTCCAGTACCGAGTTGAAATTTCTACCTGGGTAGTTCTGTACAATAGATAACATTTAATTAATAATTTTATTATATTATACCAATACTAATGAAAAATATTTAGTTGTATCGAACACTTAGAAAGCGCTTTCTGTGCGGTGTTTCTAATCCAATTGGTTTCTTTAACTGTTCAATTTTGTTTGCAGGGATTTATGCTTGTTTTGATAAGTATATATTTTTTTTTGTCAGGGTCATCATCAGAAATATAATAATTAATTGCAAATGGTTTTCAAATTAATTGACAACTCGGCGAAATTAAAGTATTTTTAAAGAGAAATTAAAGTATCAATGAATTTTGAAAATTATCAAAATTACCCGTGTGGAAAAGTCGACTGGGCCCCAATCTGGGCCAGACTGGGTTTCCCAATGTCCAAAGTGGGCAACCCAGACAACGCCCAAACTGGGCGCGTAACGCTGATCCCAAAGATTTCCCAAGGTTGGGAAATCCCAGCTGGGGTCAGATTGAGTTATTCCATTTTTATTTATAATTGTTAATTAATCATTATATAAATAATTTAACAACAAAAGAGTAAATTAAATGAATAAATATAATTTCCTTTAAAATGAAATTGTATTAAAGATGACGACTAACAAACAATGTATATAGTAAAAAAAGTAAAAAAAATATTTATATAATTTAAAAATTAAATAATAGTGTATATATTAGATTTTCAAGTTTTGGTACAACTTATAAATGAAAATCTAGAAATAACGCAAACCTATGAAATAAAGAAAACTGCACACGAGGGGAATCGAACCTACGACCTACGGACTTATAGATTAACGCTCTAACCACTATGCTAATGACGCGTATACCTGCAGACAAGTTTTAATTTCTCAATATCAAAGATGTGAAAAATATGATTTGGTTAGACAATAAATTAAAATATAATCACTTACTTAATTTCATTTATTTTAATTTAACATTTTTACAAGTAATAATTTGGATTAATAAGTACCAAAGTATAGTTGTCGTTGAAGTCAAAATTTTGTTTAAATAATTTATTAAATTAGAAAATTATGTTCAATTGAGGACCCCGATTCTATAAGGAGACTTACGCTTAGGGCAGCTGCTTTGCGACCAGTCAGGTGGTTCAAGAATGGAAAGAAATAAAATTCAAATTTTTTAAAAACGCTATCCTGTAGGAAATGAAAATCCGCACCTATTTTCCCTTTGAGATTTTTTTATAAAACGAATATTAAAATTAATAGAGGTAAAAAAGTAGAAAATTTTTTTACGATAATTTAATGAACTTTTAAAACATAACTCGTCGTAATTTTGCCAAATATTAATGGATTTTTTTGAAATTTGATTTTTTTATTCAGTTTATACTACTAAAGACAACAATCATAAAAAAAATCAAGAAAATTGTTATTATTTAATATGAAATAATAATAAAGTTTTAATTTTGAAAATATGTGTTTTTCAACCTTCTACTGAAAATGTTATCGAGGGAATTTTCATTCTGGAAAAACTTCTCGCGACAAAGTTTTTTCTTACATATTAAAGAAGTTTTTCCAAAAGTTTGGAATTAATTCTATAAAAAATAAAGAAGTTACAAGAAAAATAGTGAAAAACTATTTTTCCTTATACTGCAGCAGTAACCATGACACCTCACGGCTTAGTTTCTTCAGGGGCGTTCTAATTATATAATTCGCCCTACACTCGAACATCAAAAAATAATTATTTATTTGTTATAAAAAATATATTTTTTAAATTAAATAATAAATTATTATTTCATGTTGTATAAGAAAATTATTATTTTTCCTATTCAAAATGTATAAATACTGATTTCAAATATAATTATAATTCTTTATATGTATTTTGGATATATTTTTGTTTATTTAACAGAAATAGAATACAAAAATATTTCATTATTAGTAAAATCAAAAATTTGTATGCCAAATTATTTAGCATGATCAAGTGTAGGGCGAATTATATAATAAGAACGCCCCTGAAGAAACTAAGCCGTGAGGTATCATGGCTACTGCTGCAGTATAAGGAAAAATAGTTTTTCACTATTTTCCTTATAACTTCTTTATTTTTTATAGAATTAATTTCAAACTTTTAGAAAAACTTCTTTACTATGTAAGGAAAAACTTTGTCGCGACAAGTTTTTCAAAAATGAAAATTCCCTCGATAACATTTTCAGTAGAAGGTTGAAAAACACATATTTTCAAAATTAAAACTTTATTATTATTTCATATTAAATAATAACAATTTTCTTGATTTTTTGTATGATTGTCGTCTTTAGTAGTATAAACTGAATAAAAAAAATCAAATTTCAAAAAAATCCATTAATATTTGGCAAAATTACGACGAGTAATGTTTTAAAAGTTCATTAAATTATCGTAAAAAAATTTTCTACTTTTTTACCTCTATTAATTTTAATATTTGTTTTATAAAAAAAATCTCAAAGGAAAAAAGGTGCGGATTTTCATTTCCTACAGGATAGCGTTTTTAAAAAATTTGAATTTTATTTTTTTCCATTTTTGAACCACCTGACTGGTTGCAAAGCAGCTGCCTCAAGCGTAAGTCTCCTTATAGAATCGGGATCCTCAATTATTATTAATAAATTGAATAAAAATAGGAAATAAATGATTGAGAGTGGGAAAGCCCAAACTCAAAAAACGACTAAGTTATTATTATTAATTAGCTTAGTTCAATAAATTAAAAACTAAGAACTTGACATGCATTTTATTTATTCAGGGAATGTATTATTTAAGCATTAATATAATTAACTAAAGTTTTCAATTTCCTTATTTTTCCTTAAATGTGAATTTTGCCCATATTGGCTTTTGGAAAAATCTCCAAACGGGCCTATAAATTAAATATAAATATAATTAACTAGTTTTATTATTTCTCATTTTTTCTCAAGTTTTTTATTTATTTATAACAGAATATTAAATAAAATTTCAGTTTGGGAATACTTTGGGAAATCCCAGTTGGGGCCAGGTTGGGTTGACCCAAACTTTGCCCAAGTACAATGAAAGACAAACATTTTTTTCAGCTTTTCACAGTTGCGCTTTTTTGTATATTTCTTCAGCATATTATTTAAATAATAATTTAATTAACTTAATTCTTTTATTTCTTCATTTTTCAAACTTTGGGAAGCCAAGTTGGGCCCAGATTGGCGCCCAGTCTCACTTTGGGCGACTTTGGGAAGATTTCCACACGGGTATAAAAGTAAAGCCATATTAATTTCTTTTTTAAAGAAAGGTGTGCATATAATTTTGTCAAGTTGCAGATTAATATCAAAAATCACTTGCAAATTATGGTATTTCTTTATGTATTCGTAATCATTTTTAAAAAATACAGCTCTTATTTTTAATATATATTATTCTAAAATTAATTCAAATTTGATTAATTTAAAAAATAAAATTTGAATTTTATAGTTGTTTCATTTGTATTTTTAGTATTTAACGGAGGGGCATAATTCGATAATAATAGATGTCATGTTTATAATATGTTTTCTTATATATATGGTTGGCAATTTTTATATTTACTGTTATTTGGGTGAACAGCTTCAAATGGAAGTAAGTAATTTTAATATAATTATATTCCCTCATATAGAGGAATTATTTTAGTTTATTTTTCTCATTATAATTTTGATATATGAAAATGTGGAAAAGAGTGAGAGCATATAAGTGATAAGAATATGCAGGGTGGTCGCAAAATTTTATTTTCAAAATTCCAAATACTAAAAATAAGTCAATTGGTATTATTTTTTAAAATAATATTAAAATATTTTGAACACTTTTCCTTTTCGTGCAACGTGGGTGAAATTGGATGTGAAAAATTTAAAAGAAAAATAATAGCAGCATCTTAATCAGCAATTTATTTGCAACAATATACATTTCCTACAATTATAAATTGTTAATTATAAATGAACATTTTCTTCAGAGTTTTGCTTTTGCACAAACGGCTTTTGATTGTGAGTGGTACAATTTGCCACCTTCAAAAATGAGATCTATGGTTTTCTTAATAATGAGTGGTCGTAAACCAACGGAACTGACAGCTGGTAAATTTTGTGTTCTCAATTTGATTCTGTTTGCCAGCGTAAGTTTTCTATTATTTTCTCATACTATAAAAATAATAAATTTAGTTAATTTTACTTAACATTTCTATGGATTAGCCGACAAAGTCATTTGTAAAATTGAATTCTGTAAAATTTAGTTACTATTAGAGGAGAGACTCTAGAAATGTTTTCAATTTAAAGATATATTAATATCATATGACAAATTTTGAAATATATTAAATATTTCTAGCCTCAGTCCCATGACGGCGCGAATGCAGAATGCAAAGCAAAAAATCATGAGAGTGAAAAGGATAGCGATATCTTTCTATCTCTTCTGCACTCATGGTTTTTTACTTTGCATTTTGCATTTGCGCCGTCATGGGACTGCACCCATACACGGAAAAGTTTTTGGTAGTTCCTCTCTATCAACAATGGTGGCGCCAAGCTCCTAGGCATGAAATATAGAGCCAGCACCATTTTGGATCTACTGCTTTCCTTCGAGGGTGTTCTGAACTCCCACAGGTAAAAAATATTTTCTTCTGATAGGATAGAAATTTAGGTACAGATACGTCAGCTCTCCCAAATCTTTTCCGTGTAATAACGACATTTTACAGAATACAGTTTTATAAATGGCTGTATTAGCTCTAGTCCAGAAAAGTTTTATAATGTTATATTTTTATTTGGTATGTTTTATAATCGAAAAAAATATTTATCTTTTTTTGTTATTTCAGATTATAAAAACATCTATGGGATATCTGTCTTTTTTGGTAACTATGAGAGCAGCATAATTAGAAAAATGTTTGGTATTATCAATAAAAATTTTGTTGTTCTACTAAAATTTGTACTTGATATAGAAGCAACAAAACCGTTTAGTTGACCCGAAGAAAGTTTTCATTAACCTTTAAACTGCTAGGTGCTAAAAAAAATTTACGCTTAGTGCTTTTAGTTTAGTTACTTTTTTGTTTTTCTGATGATCTTAAGGTGGTATTACAGTTTTTAAGCAGTAAAAAATGCGTTCAAACTAAATTTTTTTTCTCGTTAATTACTTTATTTTAAGGGTTCATACCACTTTGTCAACTTCAAAAAATCGATTTTTTTTACGGATTTCGAAAGAAGGACATTCCAGGAATGTTGTGTAAAAATTGCAGAAAGATCTGAGCAGTGTAAATATATTTTTTACGATTTTATTTGAGAGCGTACATTGGCGCGCCTGTTACTCATACGAAACTTTAAATTCGTTTTTCTCAAAACAACATTTTTCCATACCGCGGGATGTTTTTCTCGGAAACTACTGGACCGATTCTCAAAATTTTTTTTACGAAAATCTTCGTCACATAAGTGGGTATCGCCGGAACTAGAATTATGAAAAAATATTCATTTTTACTATTTTTTTAAACCCTAAAACTGCCAAAAAAAACCTTAATTTTCGAAAAAAAAATTTTAAATTGCCGCCATTTTGTTATTTTTGCATGAAAATAAAAAATTCTAGTTCGGGCGATAGGTGCAGTCCTACTGAAGATAAATCAACTTGAATTTTGTGTTTTAGATTTTTCTAACCTGAGAAATCAATCCCGCAGCTGGCATCGGTATTTTTAGCAGGTCTAAAATTATTGTTAAATTATATATAAACAAATAATATTTTTTGAATAAAATGAGGTTTTTTATAAAGTTAAAGAGTGTATTTATTAAACTAAAAAAAAATGTAGATCAATATAATCCTTAGGAATCGTAAAAAAAATTATAGAAATTAGCTTCATTTTCAAGCGTGTAAAGTGGTATGAACCCTTAAGGAAAGAAACCTTTTGTAAAATATTAAAAACGAATAGTTCTTCAAGAAAAAATAAAAAAAATTTTTTATTGGATCTCTCTGGTCACCCGAGGGCACTGAAAACATGGTCAAAAAAAAAAAAATTTGGTCAATCGGCGGACAAGCTGCAGCCTCTCAGGGGCATCGGATTTAAAAAAAAAGTATTTTGAACCTGAGACATGTGGTTAAAAAAAAATTAAAAATCATCGTTTCGAGAAAAACGCGTTTAAACTTTTAACTCCCAAATGTACAAATTTTCATCAAAGTTTGGCGCAATATTTTCGCAATTAAACTACGTATGTAAAAAAAATTCTACAATTGACATTTCTTATGTGCCGAAAATCGCTCTTTCGAATGGCACATAAGAAAATTTTGTAAATTTTTATCTAAACAAATTGTACTTGTTTTTTAAAATAAAAAACGCAAAACTAGCGCTGTGCGCATAAATATTACATTTTGTTATGTATAACTTTTTTATTTTGTCGAATTTTGATTTAATATTTTGAGATTATATTTCCAAGATGATTTTGAACAGGAAAATGCAAAAAAAAAAAAAAACGATCTTTTTGACGGTATAAACTGCAATACTACCTTAAATGATGTAATGACAACTGTCGTTTATATTTTTTATTTTTTTTACATTAAAAAGTCTATTTCATTATTTTATTTATAAATAATTGAAGTATTTACATGATGTTTACATGTTGACAGAATCACGAAAACGTTAAAACAAAAATTATAGGTTATGATGACTGACAAAACTAGTTGCGCACGAAGATGCGCAGAAGTTACTAATACAAGAATTTATTACGGCTAATGTTGGTATCACAGACCACTATATACAACATTTTCATTGATATTATATGTCATAAAATATGAATAGCTACTGAAAAGCTGAAGTTTCTATTGTTATTTAAAAAAAAAAGTAATAAACGAAAAATGTTTAGATAGCGGTCTGAGAGACCGCCATGGCAGTCTAAAGGTTAAATCAGTTTTATCTTTCAAATCAATTTTTTTGATTAGCAAAATTTTTTTGTTTTTTAATAACCTAATTGTTTGGATGTCTGCACAAATAGTGCTTAAAAAAATAATTTTATCATTACATATTAATTATGAGTAAGAATTTAATTTGTTTTTAGTACAATTTTCAAGTTTTGTTTTGATTGTTGTTTTATTCAATATTATACCATATTATAATTTTATAATTCGATAAAATGTACAACAATACTATATTTAATTTATCATTATAAATAACTACCTACATGTAGGGGGGAAGCGAGTAAAACGGCTATGATAAAAAAAATTGGAAATTTTAATGTAAAGATAAATTTTTATGGGGCGTTAAAGAGAGTGAGTCACTTTTTGATTTTTGAGGTTATGAGAGAGATTTACAAGAGAATGCAATTCTTATGTATACACAAAGGTATAGTTGTTAATGTTGAACTGCTTAATGATTTCTTTTTTTTCGACAAGAATAAATAACATTGCTATTTTTATAATAATGAAACATTTTCAAAAAGTTGCGCCGTTTTACTCGCCTCTCCCCTAATTGAAAATCAGCGTGTTAAAATCAAAGATTTTTTTTTATTATATATAGTGTGTGAAAAAATTTGTAACGCTACACTTTTTTTGAAAGCTTATGTTATTTTTCTTGTTATCTCAATGCATTGACAATTTTTATTGTCTTGTCAATCTTTTAATTCACTTTTCTAATATTTTCTTATAATTTTTATTTTTTTCATTGTAATATAAAAATAATGTATTAATATCTATAACTTTCTTTATAGCTTTCTCGGAGATTTTAATAGTTCTAAAAAAGTTTAATTGTATTAGACAAATAAATTAGCAAATTAAACAATTGTCTTTTTAATAATAATAATTATTATTTTATTTTATTAATTATTATTTCTTGAAAATAAAAAAATGTATAGCTTATGATTTTCTAATAAATATTTTTTTCATATTTTTTATACTGAATATACGTTTTTCATAATTTCGGGATAAATTAAATTTCCCACAAATGAAAAAATTTGTTTATATAACAAATTTGCTAAATCGTTACTCTAAATTTAAAAAAAAAACTTTACACAATTAATATTTATAATTAATGTTTTCTTCATTCGATTTGACAAAAATCATTAAAAAAATTCATTCAAAACAGATAAAATATTCACGAGAAATTAATAGTAGTGGAAATAAATTGTTTGCTATTTTTGTATCTACATGCTTCAGCTTTTCCAAATAATGATTATAATTATCAAAATGTATTTAAAATAGATTATTAGCATATAAATTTTTTTTTTAATAATTACTATTATTAATATTGAAAGAATTTTGCATAATTAATTTACCTTTTCAATTTTAACTTCAAATCTATAATATTATAATTATTTGAAAAAATATAATTTATTTAATGATAAACAATATAAATATATATCACAATAAGGAAGACTGATATTCACTGAAATGCAATCAGCTACTGTTGTTAGGAACGTAAAATTTTCTCTGATTTATTATATATTCAAAAGAGCATGCGTCTCACGATTCCCGAATCTTTTTCTATATGATCGTTTTTGTCATTGCTGGTGATAGCTAGCTTTGCGTGTGTTCGAAATGGATAGTATAGAAGGTAAATTAATTATGCATATGTTAAAAGATATTTAAAAAATTCAAGTACAATAATAATAATAATAATAATAATAATAATAATGTAAAAATTAATATCAATATTTCATAAATTAATATTTAAATTTAATTATTTTATAATATTGGGTCAGAATTTCTCAAACGGATCAACTAAAATTTTGATGTGCTTTTTTTTAAATGTATATTAGTTTTACAGGGATTAATTTTTTTTAAGTTAGTTAAAAAAAAATTATGAAAAAAAAACAAAAAAATTGCGTGTTTTGTACTTAAAAATTATTCATTATAGTTATTTAAATTTTAATATTATGACTTAAAAATTTAAGGTTATACTCTTGATGTGCCAGGTCCAAGTGAGGCAGCGCCATCTACATTGATACTAAAATTTTGGAAAATTTTCAACAGCCTTTTCTTGAAAACAAGATGGTAAAATGCTTTTCCTTTATGGATAATTGATTATTGGCAAGATATACACCAGCTAAAACTTTTTTTGAGTTAAAATAATAAAAAAAATTTCATGTCAATAAATTAAATATGAGCACTTTTTTCACAAAAACTGTAACAGTACTTTCTCAGAAATTACAATCAAAAATGCAATTTCCATTTGGAAAATTAATAAACGCTAAAAAATACACGACCTAAGATTTACCAATCACGAAAATAACAAAAAAAAAATTTATTAAATATTTAACATATTGATACTGCTTTACTGATTGTGACAGCCCTTTGGTAGATTATGTATTTCAGGTGGTTAGCAACAGCGCCAATCTCCTCCTTTCGGCAAAACTGCGAAACGTCTGGTGACATATATAACCTGCCAAACGGCTGTCATAATGAGTAAAATATGTTATGTTAAAATACTTTTTTTTGTTATTTTCGTGATTGGTAAATCTTAGGTCGTGTATTTTTTAGCGTTTATTAATTTTCCAAATGGAAATTGCATTTTTGATTGTAATTTCTGAGAAAGTACTGTTACAGTTTTTGTGAAAAAAGTGCTCATATTTAATTTATTGATATGAAATTTTTTTTATTATTTTAACTGAAAAAAAGTTTTAGCTGGTGTATATCTTTCCAATAATCAATTATCCATAAAGGAAAAAGCATTTTACCTTCTTGTTTTCAAGAAAAGGCTGTTGAAAATTTTCCAAAATTTTAGTTTCAATGTAGATGGCGCTGCCTCACTTGGACCTGGCTTTAAGGAAAAAATTATACATAATCTTATTTTAATCAAAGTATGAGTAAAGAAAACAATTTAAACTTCAAAATTAAATTTTTTTGAACTTATGTTATCCATTTGAGAAATTCTCAACTTATTAATATTTCAATTTTAAATAAATTACTTTTAAAAAGGAAACATGTATTTTAATGGTTGATAAATCTTTAATAAAAAATTGTTTTTGCTAGAAAATAATTACAACATTGTACATTATGTATACCGTTAACCGGGATTTTTATGGTGCAAAAATTGAAAACTAACATTGTACCATAATAATTTCGGTATGACGATAGTTAAAAAGACTCGATGATTAAAATTCAAAAACAAAGAGTTGTAAAAATCTAGGAAATTTTTCTTTTTTTATAAATTTGGTTACTAAAATTATTTTAAATTATAAATGTTATTTAATCATACCATTATAATTAACAGCTTTCAATCATATTATTAAAATTAGTAAAATAAATCTTCAATTGCTTGGTATCTGGCCAAATCCATATAAGTCGGAGAATTTACTGACATATTGCCATGTAGTTCTTGTTATTATTCTCATTTTCATCTTTGTAAATATTCCTCAGACGACAAAATTATTAATGGTACGCAACGATTTGGACAAAATGATTGAAATTCTTTGTACTGCTGATATTTCTGTTGCTGTTGCAATAATGATGATTTTTGTTCTATGGCGAAATAAAGAAAGTATGTTTTATTAAAAATTATTTTTAGTTTAATTATAGTAAAATATCTATTTTTATAGATTTCAAATTTAATTTTAATCAGTTGAATGTGATTTTAGATTAGATTTTAAAAAATTCATAATTGATAAATCTAATATTTTAAATATTATTATATAACAATCTGTATACAGAAATTGATCCATTTTGTTTTTTTTTTCAAATGGGACTTTAGTCAGGGTCTAGACAGTTTTTCCTGTTTGAAAAAAAAATGTAAATAAAGTCTCAACATTCGAGAAGCAGTGTTAGGTAAAAGATTTGTAAGTTGGCTATGTGGTCAGAGTACACGGTTCTCGTCCCAAGGGTCCTGGGTTCGATCCCCCGTACGTGGGAGATTTTTAAAAATTATTCTTAAGTGTTTTATATATACTATATATGTAATAATCTTATGTAGAATATAAATTAGAAATAAAACCCTGTAAAAACTATCATTTATTTAAAATAAAAGTAATCTCTCAAAATAGGTCCATTTAAAGGAAAACTGACAAGGCCCTGATAAGTTTTTCTCTAAAGTAGGGTATTGATCTGGATCAACATAATAGGATCCGCCATTTTGAATTTTGATAATCTGTTATTAAATTTGTATTTAGACACTTATTTCTTACATAATAAATATATTATAGTATTAAGAGTGCCGAACGGTTTCTGAAATTATTTGTCAAGGAGATCGCCCTATAAAAATGGCACTGAACGTAAAAATGATAAACATTGATTTTAAAATACCTTTTTCTCGAAACACGGACATTTTTTAAAAAAATTTGCTAAAACACCAAGGATGCTTATCTTATAAATTTCCTAAATTCGAAAGATTGTGCTAATCAATACAAAAACGCGATTGAAAAACGAAAAGTAGGAAAGTAATATAATGACAGCTGCGACTTTGTACTATCTGCATGCTTCTGCCATCTGACGGCGGCAAGACGTAATGAACCTCTCATTACACTACTTTCCTACTTTTCGTTTTGCAATCGCATTTTTGTATGGATTCGCACAATTTTTCGGATTTAGAAAATTTATAAGATAAGGATCCTTGGTGTTTTTACAGATTTTGTAAAAAGTGTTCGTGATTCGAGAAAAAAAATATTTTAAAATCAATGTTTATCATTTTCACGTTCAGTGTCGTTTTTATAGAGCGATAATAAATGGTTTCTCTCCTTTTCAAAGAATTTCAAAGACCGTTTGACACACTTAAACTGTTTTTTTTTTACTAATTTTTTTATAATCAAATCTAGAATTAAATCAATCGAATATTTCTAACGATATATGTGAAATTTTTAATATAATTTAGCATTGAGACCTCTAGTTACTGTAATAATACAAGATTGGATGAAACCAAAATCAAAAGAAGAACACAATATAATGGTGAAAATGGCACAAACATCAAGGAGAATATCAATTATTTGTCTTTTATTATCACAAGGAACTTTTCATGTTAAATTAATACAAGAATTATTTTCAAATATCAACCATAAATTAAATGGCAATCATAATGAAACTCGATTATTAGTTGAATCATATTTCCCCTATAATATGATAAATACACCAAATTTTGAAATTACATGGTGTATACAATGGTTCGCGTTATTTTTAGCAACATGTGCTTATTCAGGAATAGATTCATTTTTTGCTGTACTTGTAATGCATATTTCTGGTCAATTTGCAGCTTTACAATTGCGAATAATTAATTCTGTAAATGTTAAAAATTTTAAAGTAAATTTTAAAAATATTATTCACAAACATGTGACATTATATAGGTAAATATTTATTTTGATTATTTTTTTAATTACATACTAAATTACTAATTACATGAAATTTTATTAAATTTAAAATTATATTATAGTTCTTTTTTAGTTTTACAATAAGAATTGTTTTTTTTTTGTTCTTATTGAGTATATAATAATTAAATATCTCAAACAGCATATATGTATAATATTTCTATTTACTGTTAAAGACATATCGAGATAATCGAAGATTCTTTTAATATAATGTTTCTTGCTCAAATGCTCGCTTGCTCTATTCAGTTTTGTCTTCAAGGATATCAATTGATTAGTGTATGTGAAAAAAATTAATTAATTTTTAATTATTATTATAGTCTCTCTTTAAAAATTTAAAAAAAAATTAAAATTTTTTATAAATGAATACAAAAAATGTAACACGTGACATTAAAATTTACATTATATTTATAAAAAAAATTAATATCTTTATCGAAATGAAAAATTGTATTTATATTTATTACCCTCACAGCACTGGATATTTAAGGATATCCCTGGGATATCATATGGATATCCATTTGCTTTCGGCGATTTGGATATCCTAGGACATCTCCAGGATATCCAAACCGCCGGAATCATATAGATATCCCTAGAATGTCCCAGGGATATCCTTAAATATCCGGTGCTGTCAGGGTTATTACTAAATAAAATTTTAGATTGTAAATGACTCGAAACATGAACGACCAATCGCTAATCTTTTATTCATGGCAATATTTTTAATTTATATGATGGGACATTTTTATATTTACTGTTATCTTGCTGAGCAATTACGGTTTCAAGTAAGAGAAATCTTTTATTATAAAAATCTACTATTAAACTAAAAAAAATAAAACATTTAAAATAAAATAATTAAATATTTCATTCTAACAATATTCCCTAACAGCAACGGACATGTCAGAATATCCTATGGACGTCCTATCTATATCATATGGTTATCCTTGAAACATCCTACGGATATCCTACTTTCTAGATACGGATAGGACATCCGTAGGATATCTTGAATATCCGGATGATGTTAACACGATAAATTTATAAAAGAAAAAATTAAATTAATTTCGTAGACTACCGAAGTTGCAAATTCAGCTTATAAATGTGAGTGGTTTAGCTTAGAATCAATTCAAGCCAAAAACATTTTATTCCTAATGAAACGAGCTAAAAAACCTGGAGTTATTTCAGCAGGAAAATTTTGCTTTCTTTCATTAGAAATTTTCAATAAGGTAAATTTTCCGAAAAATTTTAATATATCTACTTTTTTACTTTTTATATAATAATAATAATAATAAAAGTTGTTTGAATTTTGTTTGTCCTAATGGCTTAACAAAATTAGGCCAAAAAAAAAATTCAAATATCTTTTAATAATACCTAATAATAATGTTTTTTGATATTTATAGATAATGAAAAACTCAATGGGATATTTATCAGTACTTTTGGCTATGAAAAGAAAACAAAATGTATAAAAATAAAGATTCTTTACTTAAATAATTTTATTTTAAAACTTGATTTAATTTTTTATCTCTTCTTCAAAATATATAAAAAACTACTTTCTATCTAAATAGAAATTGTTAGTCGATCTTAACTATCGACGAGTTTTTAAAATTTGTGTACATATTATATAAAGAGGGATGCAATTGAGGATCTTAATTAAGTAACTCGACCGACGCTCAGACGAACGCTCTAATGTCAGTTGGGTAGCAGTGAGCCGCCTATAAGCTGTCACTACTACTTGACTGGTTTTTTGAGCGTTCGTCCGAGCGTCGGTCGAGTTATTTGATCAGGACTCTCAATTGTGTATAATTTTATTTTGACTTCAACTTAGATATTCATTTAAATTTTTCCATAAAAAAACATTTAGTGAAAATAAAATTACGTAATAGCATGCATAACAGTTTTTTTACAAGAATCTCTACTAAGTATCCAACATTTAATGACATAATATGCTGCAAATGGAGTCATTAAACATATTATCTATCAAATTGACATGATAATCGACTGCGTGTATGATTAATTTTTATAATGTGCTCTACTAATAAATAAAAAGTTTATTTAACTGCCAGTTCGTTGTCTATTTAACTTTTTCCAAATTCCTATATCTCCATATCAAACATCAGGTGCAAGCTAATTTAAAGTTTATCAAGACTACAGACATGAAGCAAGTAAAAAAGAGATTGATACTTCAAATTGTTAAAATTACAATTTCATATTTAATCATTATCTGCCAGTATAAAATTAATTTAATCAAGAACACTAATTTTGGTCAGTAATCTAGATCACTAATCTAGATCACTAATCTAAATCACTAATCTAAATCACTAATCTAAATCACTAAACTAAATCACTAAACTAAATCACTAAACTAAATCACTAAACTAAATCACTAATCTAAATCACTAATCTAAATCACTAATCTAAATCACTAATCTAAATCACTAATCTAAATCACTAATCTAATAGTAGGAGATCCCACTGCAAGATTTCTACACTCATCTCTTTCATGGATGAAATTGATTTGAAATGAAAGATTTTTTTATCCTGTTTCCGAAACGCATAGGGTGCCTAACCTTTTATGGTCCATTTTTTTGATACAATAAAAATTTCTGTGAAAATTTGTTGAAATGTTTCACTCATAAGTTTTATGGATGAAACTTGTATTAATGGAAAGAACATGAAAAAAATAAGAAATAAATGATAGGTTGCCTCATTTCCAATGATCTCGTTTCCTGGCAGCCACTTGAAAATTTCCCACTTTCTGTTGAAATATTTCATTCATAACTTTTATGAAAAAATTTACCACCAATGTAAAGATTGATCATTTTTCTACACGATAAGAGTAGGTTGCCTAAAAGAATATGGTCCAGAAAATTAGTTGCCACATATTAAAATTGAAAAATTTATTCGAAAGTTGAGAAGAAATTGCGCAAAATATATACGTAAAACAGGTGACAAAAGACGAACGTATCATAAATTGTTGATACGTAGAGGTTATTTGATATTAAAAATTTGTCAGAAGATAATGAATAATGCAAAATGAACGTATATAATACTCAAATAAAAAACAAATTGTTTTTCAATAATAAAAAAGCAAAACTGTTTATAATTAAAGAATCATATTAAATTGCGATAATAAAATCCATATATTGTCGTTTGTAATTATTTTAAAAAGTCTTGCATATTACTAAATGCAAAGACATATTAAATTTATAATTATTAAATTTTATTTAAAAGTGGTAATTGCTGATTAATATTTTCGGTAATCATTTCATGAATTGTCAACGAATTATTTTATTATTTATATACGTCAAAGAAACAAAACAACAGCGTTCGTGTCATCTAGTTGCGCGGTTTTTCTCACCTTTCAAATAAATTTTTTAATTTTTAATATGTGGCAACTAATTTTCTGGACCATATTCTTTTAGGCAACCTACTCTTATCGTGTAGAAAAATGATCAATCTTTACATTGGTGGTGGATTTTTTTATAAAAGTTATAAATGAAATATTTCAACAGAAAGTGGGAAATTTTTAAGTGGCTGCCAGGAAACGAGACCATTGGAAATGAGGCAACCTATCATTTATTTCTTATTTTTTTCATGTTCTTTCCATTAATACAAGTTTCATCCATAAAACTTATGAGTGAAACATTTCAACAAATTTTCACAGAAATTTTTATTGTATCAAAAAAATGGACCATAAAAGGTTAGGCACCCTATGCGTTTCGGAAACAGGATAAAAAAATCTTTCATTTCAAATCAATTTCATCCATAAAAGAGATGAGTGTAGAAATCTTGCAGTGGGATCTTAGACTATAAATCACTAATCTAAATCACTAAAAAAGTTTCAACTTAGAAATTGCGAACAAAAAATGTATGGAAAACTTTTTGCTTGGCACGACTACTCACTTGTTAAGTAACGTGCATGAAATGAACTGTCATCTCTACAGCTTTGTTTATAATTTATTTAAATATACATTAACCTCTTATAATTTAATAATAATATCGCATTTGTATTGTTAGTAATATTTTCAATTTTTATATTCATTTTTTTCCAAGATTTTGTTATATATGGTTATCATGGTGCAAATCGTCAAAAAAATTTTTATAAAAATTACGGATTGGTAGGTTAAAAATATTAAATATTAATATAAAAAAGTATTTTTATATAATACTTTAGGAGAATGAAAAGCTTACAAAATATATTATCGGTACTTTTTTCAAATATCTAATCCAAAATTACACGAACTTTTGTAAATTATTATAAAATTACTTTCAAACGCTTTGGCGTATCTGTCGAGCTCACAACGATTTAACAGTTGTTGAACCTACATCGTATCGCACATGTCAAAACCGATTGCAAGGTTAAAATAAATTTTAGATTTTTTGAAAAATTTCTTAAATTTAAATTTACTTAATCGTTGTAGCAAATTTATCTCGTTGCGTTAATTTTTTGAGTTATTTTATTTATGGGAAGTTGACAAGTTTAATTAAAAAAATCTGGACGATTTTAAGTCTTTTATTCTATATAGTATATACATAAAAAAGAAAATATTGAAATCCGCAAGGTAGGATCTGGTCTTCCATGTATATAAAAATCTTCGATTTAGCGAACGTTAATTAAAATTAATTAAGGAAAATAATTATTATTTAAAGAATTTTTGAGCCTAAGACAGATAAAACATTTTCTGTTATGGTATAATTTTTATAGCAGTAGTAAAATTTAGGTTCAGTCAGACAGTAAGTGATGTAAAATAGAACAGAGCATTTCTGGATTGTTCAAATTCTGGTACCAGTGGTAAAAAAATAATTCTTGAATAAACTAGATATTTTCAAATTCTTGTAATTTATAGGTATTATTAGTAAAAGTGAGTTTGGGGAGATAATGAATAAAAATTATTTAGTTTAATTCTAAATGAATTTAAGTTTTATAATTGGGTCAGAATTCGTGAAATCAGCAGAGAAAATAAAAAATATTTTTTTTTAAATCGAAATATAGAAAAAACAGTTCTATTAGACCACAGAAATGTTTCTACCAAGCGAAATTTTTTTTTTTACAGAAGTTATTGCAAATCAATTTTTTTTTTGTCATTTTTTAAACAAATGTTTGTTTCTCGTAAACGAATGGACCGATTTCAATAAATCAAACGGCTACACAAAGGAGAGAAAGTAGACTTTCGTTTAAAATTATAAATTTAAAAAAACAAAATAATTTTTTCATAATTTATTAATAAATTATTTATAAACAATTAAATTTTTTTTATGTTCTGCGCCTTTTAAAAATTCGAAAAAAATCCTAAAATACTCTTAAAACTCTAAGGATTCGAAATCCGTTGAGAAAATTTATGTGCAGTTATTATTTTAATAGTAATGATAAAAATTGTGTTGCGCGGCATAGCGAGACAGATTGGATTTGATGGCTACGAGCTAGAATAATCACGTGACATTGCAACCAATCATGCGCAGTTGCTTCCAGTTCCGGGTCCGCCGGTCAGGTGTTGTCGAATTTTAAGTATAGGTTGCATTTTCGCTAAGCATGGTCGAAAAATTTGTTGAATTTTTTCTTCAAAATATTTAGTATTTTCCAAAAAAAATAATGTAAGTATTCATTATTTGATTTATATTAGAATATGTATCTTTATTTTACCTTTTTAACCTAATTTAATATTTTACTTGAACTTGAAATTGTAATTATTATGATCCTTTCTGACTTAACCTCAATTTTCGTTTATAAACAGCGTGGTCAAATAGTATTTAATGATTAATTTTAAATAGGTATATATTTATTTTGGCTATAATTTTTTGAAATTTACTTTTTTAAAAGAAACTAAAAATTAGAAAAAAATACTGCTGTTGTTTTCTTGTATGTTTTTTGATATTAGGAAAATATGTATGTTTTTCAAAGAAAATTTCTTTGATTCAAACAAATTTTCTTTGAATGAAAGAAATTTGTGCATTAAGTAAAAAAAAAAAAATTCTAACATTGATATAGGGTCAAAGAAAAATTTATTTGAATTAAATAACTTTATTTGAAACGATTTTTTTTGCATCCAAGATAATTTCTTTGAAACAAATAAATTTTCTTTGTATAAAAGAAAAATTTGTCAAAGGAACTGATTGCATTGAATCAAAGAACTCTTTTTCTCGGTGTAGGAGATGATTTTTTTATATTTAATTTTTTTTTAATTCACTACACAGTAAACTTGGTTGTATCTTTTTCTATTGCAACGTTTTGATGCACATAAGTTATATCAAAAAGAGATCGTTTTGTGTATCATTTTTAGAAATGATACACGAAACGGTCTCATTTTTTGATGCAAAAAATTTAATCAATTTATATGAATCATGGCCGAATTGAATCGACTCAAAATTGAACGAATTTTTTTCAGATATTTTGGTAATAGTACAATTGCGGAGACCATTTCACTATTTAATTTGAAAATGAAAATAACAGAAAATCAAAGACAATGTGCAATTCGATAATTAAAAAGTGACAGCTTATAAACATAACCTAAAATGCATGAGAAAAAATTTGTCGATAAAATCAATATAGCCGAGCTTTTTAGAAGGTAGATGGCAGTTTTGCTTTTTATAAAAACGATTCAGAAAAAATTTAAAGAAAGAAAATAGATGAGTGCTGCCATCTACCTTCTAAAAAGCTCGGCTATATTGATTTTATCGACAAATTTTTTCTCATGCATTTTAGGTTATGTTTATAATCTGTCACTTTTTAATTATCGAATTGCACATTGTCTTTGATTTTCTGTTATTTTCATTTTCAAATTAAATAGTGAAATAGTCTCCGCAATTAAACTATTACGAAAATAACTGAAAAAAATTCGTTTAATTTTGAGTCGATTCAATTCCGCCATGATTGATATAAATTGATTAAATTTTTTGCATCAAAAAATGAGACCGTTTCGAGTATCATTTCTAAAAATGATACACAAAACGATCTCTTTTTGATATAAATTATGTGCATCAAAACGTTGCAATAGAAAAAGATACAACCAAGTTTACTGTGTATAGCATGAACAATAACAAAACGAAAAATCGGAAAATAAAATCTGGATACGCTGATAAAGAAGTAAATAATTAAATTTTTATTAAATTATTTATTAATATTTTTATTAAATTAAAGTAGTAAATTCAATTAGACTTATTGAAATTGCGCGCGCCAAAAGATACGAGTGAGCATCTCGACAACGCTCTATGCCGCGCAACACAATTTTTATCATTACTATTAAAATAATAACTGCACATAAATTTTCTCAACGGATTTCGAATCCTTAGAGTTTTAAGAGTATTTTAGGATTTTTTTCGAATTTTTAAAAGGCGCAGAACATAAAAAAAATTTAATTGTTTATAAATAATTTATAAAAAAATTATGAAAATTTTTTTTTTTAATATTTATAATTTTAAACGGAAGTCTATTTCCTCCCCTTTGTGTAGCCGTTTGATTTATTGAAATCAGTCCATTCGTTTACGAGAAACAAGCATTTGTTTAAAAAATGACAAAAAAAATCATTTTGCAATAACTTCTGTAAAAAAAATAATTTTTTTTTCACTTGGTAGAAACATTTCTGTGGTCTAATAGAACTGTTTTTTCTATATTTCAATTTAAAAAAAATATTTTTTTTTTTCTCTGCTGATTTCACGAATTCTGACCCAATTATTATTTTCCACTTTAATTGTAAGATATTTTTCAATATTTATTATTATAAATTAAATTAGGAATTATTCAATTATAAGTGATTATTATTATACTAATTATGATTGTGAAGATGCTTACGTTTTTAAATTTAATAACGATCATGCGAAATGTCTGGCATATTTCAATGATTCCATTTGGAAACAATACTTAAACGCTTTATATTTTGTTTTAAAAATTAACATCTTTTTATGTTAGTAATATTTTTCTTTTCGAAAAAGATTTCTCAAGTTTTTTTTCAAATGAAATGAAATAAATTAAAATAAATAAATAAAAAAAAAAATTTTACTTGTTTCTTTCAATATCTTCCTCAAAGAAACAATTGTTAGTAAGTAAGAGCTTAAATCTCTGAGAATGCACCTTTTGACAAAAGAGCATGCGTAGTAGGACAAAAAGTCTATCGATAGGGTTACATTTAGGCAGCTCAGTTATTGTTATAAAAAAAAAACGTTACATCGCGTGTACCTTCAATGGATGGCAAAAAAGGTGCGCAAAAAAATTAAGCCTTCACAAAATATTCGCAAGAGAATAAAGCAAAAATTCTAGTGATTTATTACGGTCAAGTTCTAATCGTTTTATAATAAAAATATTTATAAATGTTTTTAAATAATTTATTTTTTATATTTAAATTTTTTTAATTTATATTTTTATTTATTTATGTAATTTATGTTTAGATGTAAAAGTTTTTTTATTTATTTTCAAGAAACATTTTTATAATTTTCTTATAAATTCAGCAAGTTAAATTAAAATTTAAAAAAACACAAGGCAAAACAAATTTAATTAATTATTATTTAATTTTTAAATGTCAGCTGAATATTATTCGATGCGAATTTGTAAATTAAGTTTACGAATCATTGGAATTTGGCCAGAAGAATGTGATCACAATAAAGATTATATCGACAAATATCGGGCAATTGGAATTTTTATTCTTGTAATTCTGTTCATAAATGTGTCTCAAACATTAAAACTTTTTATGGTATTGAACGAAATAGCATTGTTTTCTGAAGTTCTTTGTAAAATTAATCTTCCAGTTCTTGTCGTTCTTCTTATGATTGTTATTTTCATAAGAAAAAAAGAAGGTATAGAATTTTTAATTTTAAATAAAATTATAATTTAAAACAAAAATTTTACCAATTAAAACAATGTAATTGCACTGTATTTATATAAAACTATATAAAATTTTAATTTTTGAATTTGACAATTTAATTTTATTACTCGAATATTTAAAAACAAAAATTATAAAATGTGTAAATAATTTTAAAAAATCAAAATAAATAAAAATTTATAAATAAAATAATTTTTGTATAATTAATTCTAATTTTATGAAAGAGTTAAAGTCTCTTGTAGTCGCGATAAGTGATGATTGGAATAATAAAAAAACAGAAGAAGAAAGATTAATAATGTGGAATATGGCACGATTGGCTAGAAAAATATCGATATTTTGTACATTTTTGTCACAAGGCACAGTTGTTGGTCATACATTGTCGGAGATTTCAATTTTAATAAACGATAGATTTCAATCACCATCAGGCAATTTTACTTATCGTTCATATTTAATTTCTTATTTTCCATATGATACAAAAAGTAGTCCTATATTCGAATTAACATGGCTTAGTCAATTTTTAGCAACATTTCTTTCAACAATCACTTATTCTGGTGTTCATAGTTTTTTTGCTGTACTTGTTATGCATCTTTGTGGACAATTTAATATTTTAAAAATTCAAATAACAGCGACTATTAACAAAATTACTCATGAAAGAAGAATAAATGACTTTCAAAAAATTTATCGTCAAATTATTCAGAGACATCAATTTTTAAATAGGTATTGTTTTTAATTTATTTAACGTTAAATTTTTAACTAACTGACATATGAAAAAAATTATTAATAAAATATTATAAAAATTACAAAAATAATTATATTAATTTTATTCTCAATTTAAATTTATTTATATTATTTTTATAAATCTATTTATTTAATATTCTGTAGGTATTGTCGTCGAGTAATCATAAATTAAAATAAAAAATTTTGTTATGTTTCGTTTATTTTTTAAGAAAAAATTTTTGTCTATTAAAAATATTTCAAATTGTTGAACACGAATATGACGTCACATTTGTTTCATCAAGTGAGGATTTTTTTCTAACCTCAAAAAAACATTTCAGATTTTATGTAACATAATTTTTTTTTGAAAAATTGGTTGGATTCATTTAAAACTTGTTCCTTGGCGGTTTTTAGGGTCGCTGATTACGAATATAAAGTCAAATTTTCAAAATTCAAAATGGCGGATCCAATATGGCGGACAAATTAAAAATTTTTTTTTTACTTTCACGTAACTTGGTATCTAGGGGTTTTTGGAGTCGCTGATTACAAATCTAAAGTCAGATTTTGAAAATTCAAAAAAAAAATTTTGCCATATTGGGTCTGCCATTTTGAATTTTTAAAATCTGACTTCAGATTTGTAATCAGCGACTCCGAAAATCCTTAGATACCAAGTTACATGTTTTTTGAGGTTAGAAAAAAATCCTCACCTAATGGAGCAAATTTGTCCTCAGATTCGTGTTCATCGCACCAAAATACATGCGGAGGTAGGGTACTCGGGTTAGTCGCACGTATACTTTATTTTTTTTATGGGACTGTGTAATTTTTGACAATTATCTAAAATTATTCTTTATTAAAGGTGTGTCGATATAACCGAGGATTCATTTAATGTGTTATTTTTAGCAGAAATTTTTGCATGCTGCATTCAATTTTGTCTTCAGGGTTTTCAACTAGTTATTGTATGTTTTAATAATTGGACATCTTTTAAAATAAATATATTATTGTATGGCTTAAAATAAAAATATTTTTTCTATAAATTTATTTTTTAACTTTTATGTAAAAGATTACAATTTTTATATTCTAATTTTGTAATGAAAAGTTTTAAAATATAAATATTTTTATATTTGATCATTTAAAGAACTAAAAATTATAACTATTACTCTTATAGATGACAAGAGGAAATGATGAAAAATTACCAATTGATTCGATGATTGTGATGATAATGTTTCTTATATATTTATTGACATTTTTATTTATATATTGCTATTTGGCTGAACAACTTCGACGGCAGGTGATTCATTGAAACAATTTTTTCTGTTGAATATAAGAAAATCATTAGGTTTTTGTATATTGACGCAAAGTGATAAATTATTTATTCAAACTTTAATTTAAATAAAAAAATATTTTTTCTAACACACGCACCGAAAGTACACCATATTTCTTACCTGTAAAGGGGGAGAAAAGTATGTCTTTCCCGGCGAGCGGGAGGGAAAGTTACTTTCCCGTCACTGACAGGGAGGAATAGTATATTGTGCATCAAGGGAAGAAAGTTGTTCTGTTACGAGTGAAGTTAGCTGCCCGAGGCCTCGGCGCGCGCCGAGGCCAAGGGCGGCATAATTTCACGAGTCAAACAGAACAATTCTTCCCGTGATACACACGATATTTTTCATCACAGATGAGTGAATATGCTTACTTTCCGAAGGTGTAGAGTAAGAAGAAAGGGCTGTTAGCAAGGGGTGGTAAATAAATATCAACAAATATAATCCACAAATATGAAAAGATACGCAGATCGTCACAGAACTACTGACAAGCAGACAAACAGAATGAATGACGGGGGGGTTCGGGGGGGCTTGCCCCCCCGACGGGGTCTAGGGGCGAAGCCCCGGTCGGGGGTCCGGAGGGCGAAGCCCCCTGACCACAACGAAACGGAGCTCAAAAGATTAATTACTTTGCTAATTATAAATAAACTTTCTTACAATTTAAAAAACACGCTGTTGCGAATAGCCAAGCGTGCGAATTTTTTGGGGGGCGAAGCCCCCCTGAACGAAATCGCGTACATGACGGGAAATAATTTATTATAGATTTTAACATTTTCTGAGAATGAACAAAATTTTTCTTAGTTATAATTTATTAATTTTACATATTTATTATAATTTGAATTAAAAATGATATATTTGAACCTGAATATTTAAACATTAATTTTTGGATAAGTTTAAAATTTAATTCTTTTTTTGGACATCGGGAATCGTAAAAGTGCCAACCGATCCAATATTAATGTTGTAAATCGTTTGGTTTACAAATTTTTTTGTTGGGGAATTGAGATTCTCTTCTGGCTTTGAATCCTTCGATGTTGATGCGTTACCATCATCGCTTGCGGAAGATTTGCAATTCCTCTGCTTGGAATTGGAATTTATGCCTTGCATAATTTCTCGTGATCGCTTTCTCTTGTTACCGATGGAATCATCGATATAACCTTGAGCAACTTGATCCGACTTCTAACCACCGTGATTTTTTATGGAGAGCATATCGGCTCCACGTTCGGCAAGCATTGTCGTTGACGATCTTCGGAAACTGTGCCCAGTGTACGACTCAGGTTCTTCTAAACCTAAGTAACGAGCAATTTTTTGCGGCATATGGCCAATCTTATTTTTGCCAATAACCTGCTGAGTACACCGGCCTTTCTGATAATTTAGAAAGAATCTAGAGGTTTTCACATCCTTTGGTCGCAGATCCATATATTTTTTTACGAGCTGATAATCCTCAGATTCAATAACAAATGATCTTGGACGATGTGTTTTCGTATCCGGTATTTTTATTAAAAATGAAGATCCAATGTCTTTTACGTCATCTACGATAAGATTGCAAAGCTCTCCACCTCTGCATGCTCCATATACACCAATGATCAAAACGACCTAAATGCAAAAAAGATAATTAATTTCTTAATTTACGCATTTTCAACCCGTTGACATAACAAGTTACAGAAACAAGTATTTCAAATCAAAATTATGTTTATTGGATTAATAAAAATCAGTACTTCATTTAAAAGTTAAACAAAAAAATAAAAAATTTTTTCACATATTTTTTAAACAAAATATTATTGAACAAAAACCAAGAAACATAATATTAAAGATTATACTTGTACTATGTAATAAAACGAGATTTTAGTTTGAGATTATGTTATGGTGTTAAATCTCCTTAATTATATATTTATAGATTTTATTTATATACAATTAATGTAATGTAAGTTTACTTACTTTTATGTCTAAATATTCTGTGTCATCAGCTTCCTTCAAAAATTGTTCAATTTGATCAGACGTCAAAACTTCACTTTTTTTGGGATTGTAACCTGTATTTTTTTTCTTCAAAAATGCTAATAGTTGTTTGTAGTTTTTGATGTCAATATTTTTTTTGTTATTAATCGTCGTTTTAAGCATTGAGTAAATTGACCGAAGTGTGCTAGGCTTGTATTTCTCTCCCAATTGGTGAAAATATGAGAGTAAATCTGCTTCCGCAAATGATTGCGTTCCTTGTTTTTCTTGCCACGTTACAAATGTGTCATAGGTCGCTTCATATTTTACTCGCGACTTGTCAGGAAGCGATTCTTGAATCGCAAGATTCGATTCTTCAATCAAGTGAATCGGAATTTCACCGTCCGTCATAATTGCACTCTTTTGTTTACATACACGACATATGAAAATGAAATGGCTGATTGTACTGATCATACCACCCTGAACGTAGCTGCATTTAACAAGTTGATGAGAGGTTAAGTAATGTATTCTGTTAGATGGCGCCACTTATTACTAACAATCACCTGTTTTATAGGGAAGAAAGTTTTTTCTTCCCTGTCCCTAGGGAGAAAAGTGAAATAAAACGATCTGTGCGCATGCGCGAAAATTGTTTTCTGCCTCTTGGGTTGCTAAAAGACACTTTCTTCTTGCTCTACAGCTTCAGAAAGTAAGCCAATTCATACATGTGTGATGAAAAAGTACTTTCCCTCCATGTGACGTCACTAGCAGGGAGGGAATGTAACTTTCCCTCCCTGTGACGTCACTAGCAGGGAGGGAATGTTACTAATTGCTCAAATTTTTCATTAAATATTAATAAGTAAATTAAACAAAGGTATTGATCAGATTTTAATTAATTCAATGTAATTATTTAAATTAATAGTTATAATTTAAACCAAAAACATAATTTAATCTCAATGTAGTCGACTTACTATAAAAGTTATATTTTTCGCTAAAATTTAATAATAAAATTCCGTTTTTAGAAAAATTAACATTCTTTATTTTTAATCTATGTACTTTCGGTATGTGTGTTAGAAAAAATAGTATGTGAAACTCGGGAGGAAAATGATTTCCATTTTCATTTTTCTCCCTAGATGCACAATATACTATTTCAATCTAAATTGAAGCTAAATAAGAGCTTTTTTCAAGAACACATTTTGTTTGACACAAATAAAAATTTTATTTTCGCAACAGTCAATGGATCCCGCACTTTTTTCTTCAATGAAATAAAATTTATTTGAAAAAAATTATATTTATTAAACTCTGAGAAAAATATTTTTATTCTTTTGATACAAGTTATAATTTATATAGAACGCGCTCTGAAGAAAGGTATCTTAGAAACATCAAATTTTAGGTTATGTTTATGATAGTTTTACTTTATTTAAAAGTTCCTTTATATAATAACATGTAAAATCAGTTCAATGAGTTTTTTTGTGAATTTCTAAAGAGTCTGTATCAGTAAATTGGTCCCTTTCTTTAAAACGCTTTCAATATATTAATAAAATTAAATAATTTAGAGTGCAGAAATAGCATACGCAGCTTACAGTAGCAAATGGTATGATTTATCATCAAAGGAAGCTAATAATTTGTTACTATTAATGCAAAGAGGTGGAATACCAAGTACTTTAACAGCAGGGAAATTTTGCACTCTTTCATTGCAACTCTTCAATAGGGTACTTTTCTTACTAAAACATAATTTTTCGACAAATTAAAAATAAACGATTAAAACTACATTAATAATTCTATTTATATGAATTATATATTTATCAATTTATAATAATTAATTATAATTAAAAAATTTAATTTTATTCAAACATTTTTTTTTTAGATTTTAAAAACTTCAGCAGGATATTTTTCAATGCTTTTAACAATAACAAGAGACAATGTAAGCAAATAAAAAAAAATCTTTAATTGTTTTACAAAATAATTAATTAGAATGGCAGTTTTTTTACAAAATAAAAATATCAAAATATTTTTTAAAATTATTATTTACATTTTTCTTTTAAGTTTAAAAGATACAAAATGAAATACGTAGGTATTAATAATAGGTAATAATAATAAAAAAAAATTAAAAAAAGAATTACAAATTTTTTAATTTTGCACAAATTTATAATAAAGTTTTCCGTAAAGTGACATTTAATTGATATTTTAGGGCAATTTTTTAACAATATAAAAATGAAAATAATTACATCAATTTTACAATTATTCGAATATAAAGATATTTTTTATAAATATAAATTTGCTATTTTCTTTTCCTTTATGGGGAAATTTCACGTAAAATCATCAATGCGCAAAAGAAGTCAACAAAAATTTATTTTCAAAAATGCATTTTAGCAATCGAAAGGGACGTCAAAAAAAAAACTAATAACGAAAACTATTGAAGAAAATTGTATTACATTATTAAAAAAAAGTATTATAAAATTTTTACCTCCTACCCCATAGAAAATATTAATTCAAATGGGATAATTTTTTTTACGAAAAATTACCATCGAATAAAATTACAAAATAACCCAAATTTTAGATTAAAGAAAATTGTTTTTTCACTTTGATAACTTCATCTAAAATCCCTCTTTACAATATAATTAAATATTTTCTATATGATATTTTTGACGACAGATTTTTGTAAAATATTTTATTAATTGTATATTATGTATTTAAAATAAGACTATTAATTCCGATCAGGAGTAACTGAGAACAAAGAAAGAAGTGAAGCTCATTCTCACCCGCAAAAGCATCATTGCGCATGCTTTTTTCTAACTTTGTAAATGACAACTTTAACTTTTGTAGAAGGCTTATATATATTAAATCAATTTGGTTTCTCGACAATTACTTAACTTTATAAAATGAACTTATTTTCTCGTCTCGCAACTATTATTTTACAAAGTATCATTATAAACTTTAACGCATCTCTTGCCCAGAAAGTTACATACATACAGTTAACAAACAAAAAAATAATCAATAATTTTTTTTTATATATATAAATAAAAACAAATTTTTTTATTTTATTAAATTTATTATATTAAAAAAGATTAAATAAAAATTAAAAGTAATAAATCGATGACCAAAAATTAACAATAAAAAAATTGTCAAATTTTTTAATTGCTCAATTGTTTTTCAAAGGTTTTTTTTTTTTTTTTAGTTGCAAGTTTTTGAAATTATTCGTTGAAAATAATTTCATATAAATATAATGGATGGTAAACGTGGTAGGTGTGATAAATTTATTTATTTAATATCATAAAAATATTGTGTAAATATTTTCTGAAAATATGTTAATAACTGTATTTGTGACGCGCTCTGAAGAAAGGGAACTAAGAAGAAAAAAGTTATAGGTTATGTTGGGATGCATTACAATTTTTACAATTTTTCGAATTGACATTTAACAGAATTTCTTTATAAACGAATTTTTACTGAAACTTATTTTTTAGAAACAAAATTTTTGTTTGGCAGAATTTTTATTTTATATAAATTTTTTTAACCAAATTTTTATTTACAAATTCTAATTTAACCAAATATTAATCTAGAATTCTCATTTAACAGAATTTTAATTGATTCAAATTTTTAAATGCCACAATTTCCTATTCATTGAAACTTCATTTGTCCGAAATTTCAAATGACCGAACAAACAATCGACAGTAAAATTTAGGCGCGATTTTTAAAATTGACCAATCATAAATTATCAAGAAAATCGTGATTGGTCAATTTTAAAAATTGCGCCTAAATTTTACTGTCAATTGTTTATTCGGTCATTTGCAATTTCGGACAAATGAAGATTCGCCGTTTTAAAAATTCTACCAAATTACAATTCGTGTAAAGAAATTCGAACAAATAAATTAAGATTCGATGAATTGTAAATTCTGTCATTCAAAAATTGGGTTCCTAAAAAATCTGTTAATTAAAAATTCGTTTACAAAAAAATTCTTTAAAATGTTAATTCGAAAAATTATAATTAATCTTTTTGATTTCATTACATTCAAAAAAGGATTATTTAATCAAATTAAAACTATCATAAAAACATAACCTATAATTCTTTTGCTTTCCAGCTCCCTTTCTGCAGAGATCGTTATATTTGTAATTTTTTTTTTCTTTTAAAATAGGTCTTGAATTTTACATGAAATATTCTTATAATAGTTTGGTATTAATTGGCCTTTGGCCCATTTCAAGTTGTAAATATAAACAAATTGTAAATTTTCAATCTATATTTTCGTTTTTATTTTTAACATTCAGTCTTGTTATTCCACAAGGCTTACGTTTGATTCAAGTTTGGGGAGATTTAGATCTAACTAGCAATGTACTTTGTACTGCCGAATTACCTTATTTGGTTGCACTAACAAAGATGATTGTTCTTTTTTTCAATAAAAAACGTATGTATATCGTTATTTACTGTTTTAGAATATTTAATTTAACATTTGATTTTTTTAAAATTATTTTTATGGGTACTAAAATATTTACAATTTGCATCTAGATGAAAACAAAATAAAAATTCCTTTGAATCTTTATACATCTAAACAATTTTTATTTAATTTTAAACTATTTATAGTGTTTATAGTAATTAATTTTTTTCATTAATTAGAAATGTCAATTCTTTATGAAAATTTTATTGATGATTGGGAACGTAAAAAAAGTAATGAAGAATTAGATATAATGAATAATTCAGGTCAAGATGGTAAAAAAATTTCACTTCTATGTATTTTTCTTGGACAAATAACACCTGTGGCACGTTTAATTCAAATTATATTTGAAAATTTAAACAATTGGAATAATCATGATGATGATTTTAAAAATTATACATTATATATTGATGCATATTTTCCATTTGAATGGAATTATTCACCAGTTTTTGAGCTAACATGCTCTATGGAATATATTGGCACATTAATGGCAGCACTTGCCTATTCTGGAACTGATGGCTTATTTAGTGAAATTGCTTTTCATCTAACAGGACAATATCATATTTTACGTCTTAAACTTTTAAATATTGTTAATAAAATGAATGAAAATACATTATTCATTGACATTGATGATGGTTTTAGCTATATTGTTAATAACCATGAGCGTATTAATAGGTTTATACCAGATTTTGTTTTTAATTCAACTTTTATTTTTCATTGTTTATTAATTTTAATTTTTATATTCTTTATTAAAGACTAATTAAATAGTAATTAATATATAATTTTTGTCACACTGTCACAGTTGTATCGAAATTGTGGAAGAGACTTTTTATTTTATGTCCTTGGTACAATTGCTTGCATGCAGTATTCAATTTTGTGTTCAATGCTACTTACTTGTTTTGGTAAGTTACCTTAAATTTACTCTCGTAAAGAGTGTTCATTACGTCCTGCCGCCGTCAGATGGCAGAGGCATGCAGGGAGCACACAGTAGCACAGTGTGACCAGGCCGCATATAGACTTGACTTGTTAGTGTGCGGTTGGAAACATGGTGGGGGTCAAGTTTATCTGCGGCCTGGTCACACTGCAGTCGCAACTTTTATTATTTTACTTTCCTATTTCCAATTTTGCAATCGTGTTTTTGCATGGATTCTAAAAATCATTCGGATTTACGAAATTTATAAAATAAAAATTCTTGGTACGTTGGCCGATTTTATAAAAAAGTGTCCGTGTTTCGAGAAAAAAGTATTTTAAAATCAATGTTTATCATTTTCACGTTCAGTGCCGTTTTTATAACGACGTGTCTATTTGGCCCGTCGACGGGCTAAATAAGCTACTTTTTTTAAATGGCCCGTCACCCCACTTGTATATAATGAAACAGATTTTTGGTCCTTCAGAGGATAATCAAAAGCGGGCCAAATAAAAACTGGTAGATAATTTGGCCCGTCACCCTATATTTAAATTATTTAATTTCAGTTGACAGATTAAAATCGACAAATAAAAACAAATGGTAAGTAGAATGTATTTATCTGCGTTCATTAACTGTTTTTTTACATTTTAAGGAGTATAAAAATATTTTTTTGCATTTTACCATTTAACCTCAAAATATAGTACACATAGGCATAGGTGTGTAAGAATTAATTCATTGTTCAATTGTACTTTGATTAAATTTTGTTTTCTTGTTATAAGTTAGAGTGTGATGGGAAAATCAAGTGTTGGTATCTGAGTATTCGCGCGATTTGTCATTCACGAGTTTCGACAAAAGTCGGATAATTTCGGGGAAAAGGCGCCAAAGGGAACGATGAGGCGTGGGCACCGCTGGACAAGAAGAAAGTCGCATTATGGGGGGGTCGCGTTCTGTGAATTAATAAAATAGATTTCCGCACACGATTTGTCCTCACTTTTCCGGTCTGGTTGATAGAAGTTGCGCCACGTCTTTGCGAGTCGCCGACTGCCCAAAGGTATTAAGGATAATTATGCAAATTTAAATTCAATTGAATATTTTCTAATTATAAAATTCAGTGTCAACATTTTGTTCTTGATTATTTTTATATATATTTCATGGTTTTATTTTTGGTTATTAATAAAAAGAGTGGCGCATTCTCAACGTGGAAAAAGGGATCTGAGGACGGTGCGTGTGCGGATGTCTCAGGACGTGAGGTCTACAAGGTGTTAGTTAATATAAATATTCTGCGGAGGTTTGGGCCCTATGACGACGCGGATATTTATAATAATTGGAATATCATTGGATTCTGAATTTATTGTGCACACTGACGAACGAGTCCAGCGGTGCCAACACACCATCGACGAGGCTATTATCCGGTGCCACACCGTTATCCCCCACGACGACAACTATCACCGACTGGATAAGTCTTTGATTTGAATTTTATTATTTTATTATTTCCATTTATATTGAGATATTTAATACTTTTATGCTCTCAATATCATTTTTCTAATGTTCTCATCTTTTATATTCTCTACTATATGTTTTTGGATCTCAGATATTTTCTCATTTTATCACCTCAAATGTCTTTGTGATTGAACTCTCGAATTGTGAATGTATTTTAAGTCGAAGTATGATAGAGTGAATGTCTCGCGTGTATAAATTTTTAGATTAAGAAATTAAATTTGTAAAATTGAATTTATTGACTCTGATTTATTGAATATATTGTTGATCATTATTTTGTTGTATTGAATTTGTGTCGTGTACCTGATTTTATTTATGAATTAGAATATTCAAATTACTCGTTAATGACTTCTTTTAATATAAAATTTTGTTTTAACGTTCTTTCGATAGTTTTAAAAATATAAAATTTTATTACAGGTGCTACCTCAGGGACGTATAAGACATCCACTACTTGTTTATCGTTAATATTAATTGTGAACGCAACTTATGCATGACATTTTAAATCTTTTTGACATGTATAGCATTTCCATTGATTAGAATCTTTTTTTATAGCAGATAATTGCTCTACAGCGAGCCATGCTTCTTCAGTTAAGTAGGATTTTATGACAGCCAAATTAACATCATCATCTACTATAACTTGTGTTATTAATTCGGGTTTCACTTCTATGGCTGATTCTTCGATTTTGTGGCCCTTCAATGCTTTCTCCACTTTTTCCTCGTCAACAAAGAAGTTTAAAATTTTTTTAATTTTAAAATCTAACGATTTTTTAATAAACGGTATCGTTCTTTCTTTTCTTTCAGTTTTGGCTTTTGTTTTGGGAAGACCCATAGGCGTCGTTGTCAAAGACTTTTTTGGTCTACCCCGCATTTTTTGTTTTAACGGCATTTGAATATTTTGAATAATATCCATATTATTTTGCTCATTTTTGTTTTCTACTTGATCTAAAGCGTTTTTATCAATAATTTTACAATTACCATCAAATACAAGTTGCATTTTAGATGCGATCACTTCTTCTGATGATAGGAGATCTTCAGCAGTTAAAGTAAAACTATTTGAGAGTAGGTTCTCTTCTGCTGGAAGAATATCTGAAGCTTCTTCAGAGAAAAAATCTCCTGAGTAAATATTGTTTGCTGTAAAATCATCATCTACATACTCATTTATCTCGTCTTCTGTAGTCACATTTTCTCCTTCGTCTTCAATTAGAACTTCTTCCGTAGATGATTTTTGTTTACTTTCTTTTCCTATTACAGGTGTTAAATCAACCGGTATATTTAATGCTAGTCGTCGTTTAATCTACACATAAATAATAATTTTATAAAAAATATATTACTTTTTTTTAATTTCTCTTTTTAAGTTATTTTTTAATTATTATTTGTTATTTATATTAATATATACACATAAAAGTTATAGTTAAATTAAAAAAATTGTTAAATTTGTTATTAAAATAATGTTTCTTACTTCTGCTAATACTCCAATCATTGCATAGAATTTAGGTGTTGATAGTTCTGAAAGGAAAGGATTAATTTCAAGTAATTCTGTTTTTCCTATTTTTAATTTTTGGCCTTGACTTAAACTTTTCTTTTTAGCCCCATTGTTTTTTATAGAAGAAACATTGACACTGCTCTCTTCGTTGATCTGACTTTCAACGTTCTTAAAAATTCGTTGATTTTTTATATAATATTTTTGTGTCCACCGTTCCAAACATAAATGTGGATCCGCACAAGGTAGAGATAAATATTCCCTTACTGCAAAAATATGCCTAAAAACGATAAATAGTATATTTAGTAAAGATTATTTTGACGTCTAATTCGTAGAAGTACATAGTGTTAAATAGGGTAACAACACTAATTAACGATGGTACTCAATGCTGTTTTTCATAATTTGTAAAATAAATTATAATTTGCAATTATATAAATTTTAATACCTGCAAGGAAGTCCCATAGACAAATGGTTATCACAATTGCATTTATTTTCATTTGCTTTTCGAGAATTATTGCCAGTCTCTCGATTTAAAAAAAACAATCCTGTTTCAGGATCAATTCCTGAAATTTTATAATTCGACTTTTCGTTCAATTCTTGTTGCACAAATTTAAAAGCGTATTCGGTTAAATGTTTGTTAAAAAATTCTTCTGGACTTCCAACTGCGAATGGAATAGCTTTTCTCTTTAAACAAGAGTAGGCAGCTACTACGTCGTGCTCTGTAAATCGAGTAGAAATTAATATAAAAAAATCTACAACAAATCGTTCCAAACTGATAAACCTTGAAACTATTGTTTTGATTTTTCCATTTATAGATTCAAGTCTATTATTTGTTGTGTTTAAGAAGGTCGTGTTTAAAAAATTGCTGCCGAAACTCCATTTTGAATTAATCTTCTGCTGAAGTCTTTTTGGCCGTTGGTAACGCCTAATTTCTCAGTTGTAATTTCCCTGTTAAATGTTCGTTGAGTGTGAAATAAACAAATTAAAACTTTTGCTTCAGAAAAACTTTGTTTAATTATGTCGCGTTCAGTCATATCCTTATCCGCCATAACGGTTCGGATCTTTAAAGAGTCCATAACCCACTGGACATTTTCTTTTGACTCATGCATTAAAATGCACCCTGTCACGATTTCTGTTTGGCCTTGTGAATTTTCAACTATAATTAGATATAGTGGTGCTCTCAAATTTAGTAGTTTATAAGTGGCATCTATGCCAACAAACTCTGGAAAAGCTTCCATTGCTTGTTGCATTTGTTGGGTGACAAATAATACGCCTTCAAACACGTTATCCTTCATCAAAACATGACAATCAGCTCCTGAAATTGAAAAACCAGTTATTAAAACATTGTTTGCAACTTTGCTGTCATCGTAACGCTTAATAGAGTTTTGTACTACACGGAAAAATCTAGAAATAGCTGACAATTGAGAAAAACAAGAGAAATAGACAGTAAATGAAATATAATTGTGGAACTAAGGAAAAAAATGAAATAGTTTTCACATGTGCATAAATAAGATATAAATTAAGATATGAAAAATTGATGATATAGGTAATAAATGACAAAACATTTGTAAAATTCTAATTAATACACCTTTATCTTATTTTAGGTTTGAACTATTCAATTCATCATTTAAGTATTTAAAAAAAAATATTAGAAAAACACATTTGAAGAAGATAACAAAAATAAAAAAGTATAATTTTTTTATTGCAAAAAATCAAGTTTTTTTTTATCAAATGTGCGTTGTGAATAAATAAATGTTCTATTGAACTAACCATAATCATCTTGAAGCAAGCGAATCGTTTCGCTTAAGTTATTTTCTTCTCCACTGCGAGCAACTATATAAGACAAATCTTTTGCTAATATTTTTTTGTAAATAATAAATAAAATAATAATAAAATTTTATATTACGGCCTTCTTACTGGGTATATGTATAATAATTGATTAGTTATACTTTGAATATTTCATGGTTGTGTGATAAATTTATACTTTTTATGTATAAAGAATCACCATCATCATTAGCTACGACACTGAAACCGGCCGGACATTGTAATTGAAAAGTTCTAAAACAATAAGAAAATTTTAAATGACAAATGGTACAAATGTTTATATGAAGGAGGATTGTCCTACAATCCGATTACAATGCGATTTTCTAATCATTTGTATGACTGATGAATTTGATATAAATAAATGAATAAGATGAATGAAGAAAAAATTGATGATTTAGACAAAATGTTATATAAAATATTATAAAATACTTTACTTTGAATTACGTTGACCAGTGGCTGATGATTTTCTTCCATCTCTGCCTCCATGCTTGCAAGCATATTTAATGCTATAATATTTAATTCCTTCCTTTAGTTCTTTTTCTCTATTTAGTTTCTCACCTCTCGCTTTTGTAAGGCAATTTCTTATTTTAAATATAGTGCAAGTATCATTTTGATACTGCTCTATTTTTTGCTTAAGCTGTTCATAGCTGCTAAACGTATCGTTGACATTCAGGCTACATGGATTTTGTGTTTCAACCTGTGAATCACTCTGTACGGCTAAAATATAAATTTTTTTAAAAACTTTATTCTCGATTTATAATATATATACCTATATAATAATAATAATAATAATAATAATAATAATAATAACAATAACAACAATAATATAAAACATTATTGATTTATTATATTTGTACACAATGTGTGTAAAATTGTATTAAATATAAATTTCATTCGCCTTTCAATAACATCAATTAACTGAATCAAATAAATTGCCAACTTTATACGATGCACAATATTTTTTCAAATATTGACAGAAAATAATTTAACAAATTAATATACTTTGAATTAAATTTATATGCAGTAAATTAAACTGATGCTTATATATGTTGTCCAGTATTGCTTTGGTATTGTATAAAGTTTATGAAATTGTCAAAGTAATACATTTTTTTTATAATTTATTCCTACAAACTAACATTCGTACTTACGAGATTCTCCTCCGCTTGCACTATCATCACTCACCTTTTATGTTTAACAATATTCAAAAATAAAACTTTTATCTATGCACTACACGATCAACCATCACCATACGTGTGTAAAACAAAAATCGTGTATCGCCTCGTCTGCGCCACCAAATTTGAAAGCATTATACACGACCTCTATAGAGTGATAATATTACTTAAGTGGCGCGCACTTTAAAATGAATTAAATCTAAGCATACTTTTGCATATTCTTATTTCTTTAATTAATTCACAATACAATAATTAATTATTAATAATTAATTAATTGTTATAAATTTTTTCCATTAATTAATAAATTAATTAATCAAATTTTAAAGTAGATACTTTATTAAAATTTATTATAATAATTTAATTGAATTTGCAATAAAAAGTAAATTTTAAAAATATACAAAAAATTATTATTCGTATTACTGATGTAATATTATATTTTTATTATATTATATAATATTGATTATAAAATTGCCGCTACTGGGATCTGACATGGGGGCGGGGCCTAAAGCAATATGGCGTAAATTGGGTAACACTTTTAGTGAATTTACATGGGAATAACATGGGATGCAGAAAATGTTCATTTCTATGGACAGTATTTGCGTATGGGCAGGTACAAATCCTGCTCAACGAAAATTTATTGAAGGTGAACGCGTTTTGCAAGGCGGGCACATTATAAAGTGTGGTGTAAATCGTGTAATTTTGGTTTTGGTTTCGGAAATTTATGGAAAATTACGCTTAAATTTTTCGCTACAGTACTGCCACAGCCTCTCACAGAACACTTAATTCTGCAGGAAGATTTCTCACGCGGTCAAAATGTAGCTTCATTCATAATGATAAAATAATTAACAATGACAGCGGAACTACAATTGCAAGTGACACAAACAGTTATCCAAAACTAGTTACATTTTTCAACACCAGATGGCATGTGTACGAATGTCAGATCCCAACAGAAAAGTC